GTGGACTGTATCTTTAGAAGGATGAATCTGCACCAGATACTGACGCCTTTATCCCTATAAGATTATCCTCAGATTTCTTCAAACACTTTTCATTTTTCACTAAAAACTTTGCTCAAATCCCATCGCAAAGTCATTTTTTATTTGCTGCACTGAATTCAAAATGCCCGGACAATGCAGACTTAGTGTATTATAACGGTCTTTCTCTCTCCGCTGCTGTTGGCCTTCTCACTCCCTCCGATTTACACTCGGTGGCCTCCCTCTTGCACCCGGCCCCTCTATCCCTCCATCCATCTCCACAGTATACACGTCAACATAAGGTCTGTTCATCAAATCTACAGTTCCCACAAGATTCTCTCTAAATCTGCTCTGACAAAAGCGCATTGCAACACATTTTCCATGAAACAAAACATAATCAATAATTATATAGCAGTTCATTGCCAAAACTGTGGTCTTTACTTTTCTTGGCAAAAATAAGTTGCAAAACGTATTGCAAAAATTATTTTGCGAGATTAGACATGTAAAGCAAAATTAATAATTGTGTCAAAGGCTTGGACTATAATCTGCTGTTAACATTTCTTGATCTACACTACAGCCTTTGTATCAACCTTTAGTTAACTTGAAGCAGTTTTCTAATCTTTTGTACAGCCGCGTCTAATCCATGGTGTCCTTTGCTGTCTTGAGTCCAGCCCTCTCCTCCTCCTCCTCCTCTTCCTCTTGTCTTCATCTCGTGTTTGGAGCACAGAGGACACGGCTGCAGAGCTACACTCATGCGACGGCCAGGGGAATACTTCACTGACCCTAAGGTAAGACAAAAGAGTATTGTATTTGCTAGCAATACAGGCGTACAGTATATCTGCTGGTGCGATGTGATAAAGTAACAGCTCACACAATTATTCTGCTTTCACTGTAAGTATTGACACATTATTGCATTTCATTCATCAACAGTTACAGCAGCTATACTTTTCTAAACATTTCTACAGCTGGTGGAGGGTTTGTACAAAAGTAATTTCTTCTCCTATTGATCAGTATTTTAAATTTAAACTGATTAAAAACAGTAAACGACAGACCTACCCCTTCCAAAGTTTGGACTCTGCTTGGTTTCAATGAGAAATGATTGAATCTCAAAATGGAAACATCTAAATTTGATAATTCAATTAATTAATTGATTTTATTTTTGTATAGCCGTAAATCACAACAGCAGAGGTATCGGAGGACTTTGCAAAGTTGTTTATTCACCAACAACAGATCCAAAAATCAAACAGTTCGAATACAATCATTTTGCACCATCTAAAACAATATATGAAACATGTATTGAAAATATGAATATAAGTGTTTTTTTTGTTTAATTTAAAATGTCATTTAATGCTGTGGCCTCTTTCATTAACTGTAAAGACTTATCTCTATCCCTCTTGCACTCTTCTACACATCATTTATTGTACAGTTTCAGTCGGACACAAACAGAAGTATTTGAATGAGCTGCATTCCTCCACCACATCTGCCTGTTTACGGAGTGAAGTTTGGATTGACAACAGTTCTGAGGCCACTGTCATGAAAGGAGAACGTTTGCCTCTCTCTCTATGGCTTCATTTCCATTGTTCTAAAAAACACACAGGGAGGAGAAGCATAAAAAGTGAGATGCTTGTTTAGACCGCTGCTGTTTGAGATGCACAGACTGTACGTGGGAACCTCCAAAGAATACTACTGCCTTTGGATATAAACAATAAAACTGGGTGAGAATGTTCCACAGAATGCATAAAACTTTGTCAAGTTACACAAATCTCCACAGATCTGACTTTAACGTCCGATGAAGCCTGAATACCTGCTTACTTGACGCGTTCCTGGTTTAGATTGGGTTCTACTAAATGCCTGGAATCTCCTACAGTATTGCATTGAACTGTAAGAATTCTGTTTTTTGAGCAGTAAAATCATATTTGGAGAATGCACACGTTTTAAACCATACAGAGTGACATTCCAAGCAAATCAAGAAGTGCAGCAAACCCTCATATTACTTTCTGACATCTTGTTTTTTTTTATTTTTTAAAGCTTGTATGTAAATTCTATTGGGTAATGCTGTTTATGTTCTATCCCCTCTCAGTCCATTGCATGTCTTTTCTCTCCACCATAGCTATCTGCAGCGCTCAGATTGTCCTGCCACGTTTAATTTGGAAGCGACATGCACCGGTCAGAGAGGTGACCACAACCACAGGAAGAAAACTCTGACCAACGCTGCACCACAGCCCTGTCTGTGTGCATACCGCTCCCACAATGCACCTCTTCATAGCATGACACTTCTTTGATTTAGAGCTGCGTGAGAGGCACAGTGTAAATATAGTGACAGAGGCTCAGGATTATTCCAGTTTGACATTGTGTTATTATTATTGTACTGTGTTAATGATTATCTTGACCTAAACCTGGTATGGAAGGATTTGGTATGATTTTTACTTTTACAGGGACAGTGTACAATGAACATTAACCAAAAAGGAGAGATGCATTGTCCAGGTTGTAGAAGCAGTGCTAATTTACACCTGTAAACAGTCCCTGAGCAGGTTGTTGTAAAACAGTTAAGTAGATGGATACATGATCAAACATTCATCAATCAGAAATTACAATTTCATTTAACATACAAGTTATAGAAAAAACCACCCAGCCCTCTTTCTTCACTTTCTCTCTATACATACATTCATATAATGAGCATACACATACACACACACACACACACACACACACCTGAAAGAATGATGTTAAAACACTAGCTCACAGCAGGTCATCCAACAGTGCAATAGTTTGGGATTAGATAGATTAAATGGCAGAGTGGCACAATCACCTTGGTCTGGTTGGTGTGACATTAATCCAGCTCGGATCTGCTTCTAAGAGGTCACATGGTACAAGTCGTTTTGCCCAGGAAGACACAGTCTCTGTCTACAAAACGTGATTTAATTTATCTGCTTGTTTGAGGATATAACTGTAGCCGGCTTTTGTAAAGGACCATTTTATCACAGTAGTGGATTTTCAATTTCCAATTACCGATATTTCTATACACAAAAGGAAAATTGTTGTATCAATATCAACACTGACTGGAAGTAATTATCAACATTATGCAAAAGGCCATTTCTATTTAGAATACAGACATAATTTTGTGTTGTTGGGTCCCTCTACTCTTGGGACTATTTCTTCCTTAGCAAAAGACTGGCTGTTCTCTTTGTCTGTCAGATACTTTTTAAACCATTCATTAAACATTTTATTCCAAATTAAAGTTTGGCATATTTTGAATATCTTGTAGCAGTAATAAATCACCTCCAAAGATTAAAAAAAAAAAAGTGATCTCTGCCCTTTCCTACAGCGTCATTGTGAGGAATAAACATATAATTTCATAATACAGGACTATAAACCAACTGTGTGTTTCCATAAACCCAGATTACTCATCAGTCTAACGTTTTTAACTCTGCTTTCTCTTTTCCGTCACAGTTCGCCTCGACTGAACCCAGTGTAGACAGCGGAGCCCCCTGTCTCGGCTCCACTGCGGGCCTTAAGTAGATTGTGGAAGACCGAAAGCTAGTGTTAGGAGTTCAAGAAGGAGGGAAGACAGAGATTATGGGTTAATCCTGTTCATGGCCAATCGGTAAGCAGCCTCATACCTGCACCACGCCATGCAGACAAAACACTCGCCGGATTAGAACGTTTTACTTCGTTAGTGTGATTGTATGTGTCTTTTTATTGCTCCAACAGATCTCAGGGCTTTGATGGTGGCGTCTACACACGGACCGAACGTTTCTGAAGGAGCAGATGGACGGAGTGGGCTTCAAGAGACGTCTGTCAATGATGAAAGTCCAATGGAGAGGAGGTACTGCTTTTCTGACCCTTTTTTTAAGCAAAGCAAGTTTATTTGTATAGCACCGTTCATACACAAGGCAACTGAAAGTGCTGGACAGAACAAGATAGATAAATAAATAAATAATCACAGTGCATTAAAAAGAGTAAAGATAAAATCGTTCAGTTGTATGCACAGATTAACAGTTTTTAACTTGGATTTAAACATTGTCAGAGAAGAAGGCTGTCTCACATTTTCAGGAAGACTGTTACAGATTTTAGCTGCATAAATCTGAAATGCTGCCTCTGAAATTAGATTTTTTTTATTTAAGAGTTTTGATAGTTTATACAGAAAATATAAAGAACATTTAGAGAAAATCAGAAATTATTTACATTTTATTTTAGTATTAAATTGGGTATTTTTTGCATTGGCGCATGTTACCCACTTACTCCAACTGTGTGTGTCAATCAGCTCTTCCATCATACATTTCTAAAGATGTTTCCCACTATGGTGTCAGCGTTGGTGTGTCCAGAGATGTTCTGACCCCCCTTTTTTCTGCTCATTGACTTTGATCAGTTACAGTCTAGCTTTAGAGTCGCCACAGAGGGAAGCAGATCAACATACATTGTACTTTATGGCCAGTCCAACGCAGCAACTGAGATGTTGGATCCAAATCTCAAATCTATTTACAGTTGTGGTTGTTGTTTTTCCCTCTGTCCACAAAGTGCTAGATGTGAAACTCTGCCCATGCCACAAAACTTTGGATAACAAAATGAAGCAGACATTCCTTTGTTATTCTGCTCGGTCTAAAGGCTGCAGGGCACAAACGTCTTTTGGAGACATTTGGAGACGGAGGGAGAATGCAGTTTTTAAGAAGAAGACTATCAACCATGCAATAACAAGTACTTTGTTGTTTTTTTGATTGGACTTCGAGAAGGGCCAACAAGTTTTCATTTTATCTCTTACTGTCATGCGCGCTGGAGGCAAACCAATAAAATATCCAAATAAACCAGGTGGGAACTGACCCTATGTCAGAAGTTACATCATGAAACTTTAAATTGGACATTTCCAGGATTTTTGTTGGAACCAGACACTACTAAATATGTATTCTATTTTTGTTTTTATTTTACAGATTGCTGACATTTCAATTGCCAGAACTGTGTTGGTAAAACCACAATCCCAGCAGAGCACCATGAGTCTGGCTAAACTCCCTGGCATAAAGGGCCTTGTGGCGAGCTCTCAAGTCAAAAGACGTTTCAAGAGTGACTTGTCTGTGGACATGATTGGTCCACCCATGGGAGACTTCCGCCACACCATGCATGTCGGACGCGGGGGCGAAGTCTTTGGAGACACCTCTTTCCTCAGCAATTATGGAGGTGGGGTCAGGGAGCCGGGCAGTCCAGACTCCACCACCTCCAGGACCGGCTTTTTCACCCGAAAATTCAAACATTTGCGCAAGAACTCTGGACCACGCCCTCGGGGCGGGTCACGTGACCTGTCGTCGCCGCCCCCTGATGAATCGCCCATCATCAAGAATGCCATTTCTCTGCCACACCTCAACATGGTGGACTCTTCCAGCAGCTGCCTGCAGAGGGCAGCAGTAACAACGTCGTTCAGCTCCACAGATGATGCGCTCTGTACATATGGTGAGTACAGGTTTCTTTAGTTTCTCACAAACGCCTCAGCGACAATATGTTAGAGAATACCATACATTCCCAGTCCAAATGACAGATTTAGTCAGATTACTAAACCAAGAAAATAGTTACTCCTCCAGCTGCACCACAGACCAGCGGTGGTTCCTGAGGGTTTCAGGGCCACATTCACAAGTCACCACCTCCAAATGTATCTTTGGACGAGTTCAAGAGGACTCCAGTCTTCATGAAGTCCCAGATGTGTTTCAAAAGAAGTGAATATGACCAGTGTGCGCTGGTTTGGTGCTTTGACACATCCCGAGCCCTTAGAGCAAGTATTCAAACTATAAACCGGTGAACCACACCCTTAAATTCTCCCATGTCGGGAAGTTGGTAGCTGACCTGTGGAGGTGCTCTGTGCTCAAATTGAACTGATATAACAATCATATATTTTATTACAAAAATGCAAGTAATTTCACTGGCTGTCGTTACCTAGGCAACATCAGTAAACAAACGCAGCAGCTGGTTTGAGTCAAAGTGGCATTTCCTGACATCTCTTTAGCAATCAGTAAACATGCTTCAGCCAATCAGAGTGCAGCATGCAGCAGGAGCACCAAATGCACTGGAAATCCCCTCACAACATAACTGCATCAGGAGCATAGACTGTAAATATTAGGAGTCTGTAGGAAAGAGTAGGGTCTGCTTACAGTCTATGGTCTGCTCATTATGGGACAGGGATGAAAAACTATATTGTCCTCAGAAAATTACAATGAAAATGTTGTGCTGGAATTTAACATGCAGTTCTATGTATTAGTTATGTATTTATTATTACAGAAGTAAATTCTTCATTTCATTTATAAGATAAGATAAGATTAACTTTATTGATCTCACATGGAGAAATGGATAAACAATATTTCAATAGGCAATTGGTCAATTTATGTATTATTGTGGGTGAGGTGCCAAGTGTTATATGGAAAGAATCATGGGTAAACTATAGATATCGTGATTACTATGGTTCAGACTCAAGAGAATCCTGCTGTTATTACTTTCTGTGCAATAAGAACTATAGACATTGCATAGTCCTGTATCAGATCTGATTTAGCCCTTTTTTAGTCTGGTGTAGTTATGGAGATCTTCATGTGGTAATCATGTTTTGTAGCAATAGGAGATAACTGACTCAATATGGATTTCAAGAGAGATTGTTATTCCCTACTGCCATCGTCTGGTGGAAATGTCAAACTGCCAGTGGGAGTCTGCCACAAATTCTTCTCCCACATAAATAATTGCTCTAACGCCAACACTTTATTTACTTAATAATTAAATAGTGCATTGCGTGTACATTAATTCAAGTGGTTTACTGACTCATTCAGCTTGATCTAACAAACTGATACTTGTACAAATAGCTCATGTGAGGTTGTGTTGCAGGTCACCAGGCTGGATTTATGACACTCCCTCGGTTCTCCCGCCTGGAGCGACCAGGGCCAGACGGGGAGTCCTTGCCCCGCTCCGACTCCCTCACCTCCTTCACCCTGGACCTGGGCCCCTCCCTCATGACAGAGGTGCTCAGCATGATTGACATCCACAGCTGCCTTAAGACGTCCAATCAGAGCCCAGCAGAGAGCGAAGGGGAGGGTCGTGACGAGGAGGACTCGATGGACACTCCTGTGCAGAGCCCTGAGGTCCTGACCCCGGAGCCGTGTGTGTGCGACATGAACAGCAGGGGGCGCTGCAGTGGCTCAGAGCGCAGCTCAGCGAGGAGCCCAGAGCTGTCGGAGTGCGGGATGGAGGCTGAGAGCTTCCAAAGAGCCGCACATGTGCTGTCGCGTCACTACGGAGGCGCATCCTTCACCCAGAGGAACAGAGGGAGCATGTCGCCCATCTGCAACTATGGCAACGCGTCACCTGTCTGTAACCATGGAAACGTGTCAGCTTGTTCTTCTTCAGAGGATGAGGAAGAGATCAAAGTTTGATCTCTAACAAATAACTTTCAGTGCGACACAGTTTATTGCATTTGTGAGATAAGAATGTTATGTTCCAATAACAGCAATAATTAAACATCACATGTTTCTAAAGGTGTGTTTTATTCATTTAAATATAGCCTATTCTAAAATAGTTATGTTGACGCTTTACAAAATAATTTGTTCGTACATTTGACATATAACTAAGAGCTATAAAACTTTTAGACGTGAGAGTTTCTTCAGAGAAGTGATGTGAAACAGAATAGAATACTTGGAGGACTCAAACAAAACAAACAAAAATAAATCCAAAAAAGTAGGTCATGTTTGTGGGAAGCCAGGCCACTGTATAAAAACTGCTCTGGAGTCATGAGCTTAAAGGGTGAATATATGTTTCCTCACTGTGAGCCGGCTTGCATCTCCACAAACCGAACTTGTCCCCTAAAAGGTCATGCTTGTCTCCATGGAAACCCCCACAGGAGGATATACATTTGAGGTGTCGTCTTATTAAATTACTCTGTAAAGTTTTAATCTTTTAAAGAACAAAACTTGTTGATGATGTTGACGTTGACACATTTACATTTTCAAACTTTTGTTCAATCATTGGCGCTAGTTACATACTCGATGAAGGAAGTGTTAGAGGAATCTGCACAAGGGAAATTTAACACTGGACTCTTCCTCATTCCAAACAAAACACTCAAAGAAATAAAGAAGTAATAAAATATATATAAATGAAAAAACACAAAATAACATTAATGGTAAAATTCTTATTTGTTTGAACTTTTTTCTTTCTTTACTGAAGTGCTGTTAACATGTTGTCCTGGACATGCTGCTGCTACAGTGTGTAGGAGTGATATGGTTGGAAATCTGACATTTTTTAAAATCCGTAATAATGCCCCTTTAAGCGGAGCTGTGATTTTACATGCAGGTTAAAGGGGGGTATCAAACTTTCAAAACACACGACATAGAACTATGTTTAGCCTCTTTACATCCACCGGCACGCCGGCGAGCCGTTTTTATTCTTTAAATGTTCTGCTGGCAATAGCAGATGTATTTTGAACACTAAACCCCAAAAGCTGTAAGTCATTTTAAAGCATATTTTCTTATCTACAATAATATACAAGTTTCAACAATATCAGACTTTGCATTCATACCTTTGGGCTTGTGCTGCATAAATAAATCAGATCTCCTTCCAGCTTCCTATAGCTCTTTCTCTCTGGAACAGTCCATTGAAAAATAATATCCACTTGTATTTCCCAAAGTATAATCCATTCTGGAGAAATAATCAACAAATTTGCATTTATCTTCAGCAATAAAAACAAAAAAAAAGAGCACAGAGTCTGCTCTTTCACTGTTAACGAACTTTTAGTTTTGTTTTTCACCCAAACACATAGTATCCACGTGTTCCCTAGCTCGTTAGCGTCTAAATAAGACCATTCCCAAAGATCTACAAACTTTTTACGTCTTCAGCATCTCCCGTGAGTACAGCTAGCTGCTGCTGTTTGCGCATGGTCAGCCCTAGATCATATACGGAATCGGGACGGAAGCGGAAGTAAATACAACAAACTACCTACACAGTAAAATCGCTAGAGTAAAATTTACTCAAATTGAGGAAAATTTAACTCCATTTTTGATAACATTTGGTCCCTCTCTAAAAAGAGTCAAATTAACTCTTTTGATAGAGTCGTTTAATCGGAGTAATTTCTCTTCAATTTAGAGTAAAAATTCTACTCTTTAATAGTAAAATTCACTCTCTGCAGAGAACATTTAAATTGACTCTTACTCTAGTTTTACTCTTGCGAGAGGAACTATAAATTTACTCCATGGTATTTTACTCCCTAAAAAGAACTCAATTTTGAGTGATAGTTTCTCCACAAGCTCCTAAAAATGTGAAATATGACAAAAAGATCAAACATTTTTTCACATACCCTTTTATTTGGCACCAAATACTTGCTCAATAGAAAATTCTCATTCCATTTGTGAACATGCACACTGTTGACACAGAAATCCAAATATTAGGGTTGATGCCTTTCTGTGATTCCGTGCAGATGATCTTGAATGCTGGTCCCAGTCTAGAAAATTAACAAGCATACGTTAATAATGAAGCCCTTCCAAAAAGTTAGAAAAAGCGAGGTGACCTTACCTTGAGAAACAGTGAGATGGTCACAGACATGTCTGGTGAAGTAGAAGAAGAAGACATGTCATTGCCCCAGCCTGAAAAAGATCAAACGGAAGTCATCTACTGTGTTTGTGACACGATCCATTTTCACCAATATAAAAAAACTCACCTTCAACTTTAGAGGTGGACTCAGCTTTAATTCTTGATTGCAGACAATTGGCTAATTTTGTTGAAGTAGCATCATCAAGCATACTGTAAGTCTGAAGTCCTGCTCTATCTGTTTTATAACGAAAGACATAATGAAATGTTGATACAACATTAACAATATCAATATTTAAGGTGACTTACCAGTCCTGATATATCCAGAAATCTTGAAAACATTGTGAAGACCGAGAGATTTTTCAGGACCATATTTTGACGATAGTGACATGTCTGCTTCATCTTCTCTTTGACTATGGCTTCATCCATTGTGTGCTTCATGAGAGCAATTGCTTCACAGAATAGACTTTCTGCCAGCACAGATCAATCTTCCTCTTGTAGGTATCTCAGTTAGCATGCGGACCACCTATAGACAAATAAACATACAAATAATTTACCTTTTCCAACAGAATAACTCAACAGTCTTTAACTAACCTTTTGGTAATGGTGTCCTTTTGGGACCATAGGACACTAGGGATGTAAAAAAACTATGAATTTTCATGACCGACCACCGAGCCTCATTAACCGGTTGAAACCGGTTAACCGCGTAGTTTAAAATAGTCCACGTTCTTTGAAATAACAGCCATTTCGAGCCGCGTACTTTTCATAAGTGCAGCTCTGCGTTCTACTGGATCAGAGCCGAGACAGCGGCGCCCAAACCCGCAACAGCTCCGGCACCTTTGCGCACAGAGAACTGCTTTTTTAATCTTCCCATTCTGCTGTGCTGCGGGTTAATACCAAAACTTTCTAGCAGCAAACGACGGCTCGTTCACATGGTCAGAGCAGCGAGTGACGCGTCTCACAGGTCTTCACAAAAGTTTAAATACAAGTGATGTGTGTGGAGCTGATCCCGAGGACCATAAACACAAACATGTTCCATGTGGTTTGACTGGAGCCGCGTATTTGCGCGAATCCTTTGGGCTCCGTGACACAGAGGAGCGCGACAGACCGGTATGTGTGTGTGTATGTGTGTGTGTATGTATGTGTGTATGTGTGTGTGTATGTATATGTGTGTGTGTGTAAATGTAAGCTCCAATGTAGTTCTGACCCGCGCCAGTGTGCAACTTTGACGGTAACAGAGGGGAGAGATGATGCGTGTGGATGTTACGTATGGAGAGGGGGAAAGTGTGTGTGTGTGTGTGCGCTGTGTGCGCGTGTGTGTGCGTGTGTGTGTGCGCGCGTGCGTGTGTGCGTGCGTGTGTGCGTGCGTGTGTGCATATGTGGCTCGTGCGGCGTGAGAGTCGTCCCGGAGTTTATAATACATGGGCGCACACAGCTAGATACAGACCCGCTCGTCACAACGTGCAAATAGGGATTAAAATAGCGTTATTAAGAGACCTCCCCTCTCCCCTTTTTCTCTTTTTTAACCGACAGCTTTGACCGGTTAACGCTGTGACGGTCAACCACCGGTTAAACGGTCGCCGATTTACATCCCTATAGGACACAGCCAGAAAAACGGTAATAGTGCTCCTGAAATAAAAACATAGTTTGACAACATGCCTGTGAATGACTCGGATACAAATGTTCAGAGGAGTTAAGTATCATACCAAGTTAGCTCTTTGGATCTGCCAAACAGAGATAACAAGGCAATAATTCCTCTGGCATATTCGTCTTTTACACGCCTTGAAGGACTTCTTTAAAATAATAGGTTATATTTTAGTTATGAAACAGTGAAACTTTCAAAATTAGCAATGTTTTACCATGTTCATTTGTCATATGCGCAACCAAAATGTTGACCATATCACGTCTCCTGCTGTCTGTAAGGCTTTTGAGCATAATCGCTTAAGATTCAATCTCCTCCTGGTTTGTTCTTTGGGATGCTCTCAATCTGGAAACATAAAACAAAGTGTTTACAATGGTAACGATAAAATAACTTAATCAGCTACATAGTGTGGTGCATATATATATAACCATCAAGCTCACATGTGAGAGACGAGCATCCTCAGTTCTATTGACAGGTCTAAACTGCTATGATCGCGTCCTCAGAGTCAACCTCGGTATCTCCACTTTGGGGAGCTCAACCCATCTGCAACATAAAGTCATAGTTGTCAAAATAAAAACCTTAATATATGAAAATACAGCATTAAATTAATTAATTATTTAAAAAACACACACCCTTTGGTGAACAAACATCTAGCACACCCAAACGCTCCTTCTTGAGGAGAAATTCAAATACTTCATCAACCTCAGTCTTCGTCTCATCATAGACTTTGAAAGTTGGAATATCCATTTATTTTGCAACTGCAAAAACAAATGTATGTTTATGATTGTTTACAAGTATCAAGGCATTTCAGAGTGGAGTACAATGTAATATTATCAAAGCATTTTACTTTATAATGCCCCTGAAGCTAAAGATAATTACATATTTCCCACTTACTACATTTTAAGAATAACGCAAAACAAAGCTGCCCTTCATATCAGATGTACTTCTGTGGATCGCTGCACATCACTTCAGCATTCATCTAAGGAGACATAAAACAATTTTAGTACACACATGTGGTCACTGTTGTAACAGTAATAGTGTTTATGTGGCAAACATAGCTAAAACTGCATCCAAAGTCAACTACGCTGTCTGTAACAATGCTAACAACAATGCTAACAACAATGCTAACAACAAAACTACTCAAGTTAGAGTCACCTCCATGTGTTCCACTGTCTGTAACAATGCTAACAACAAAACTACTCATGTTAGAGTCACCTCCATGTGCTGTGCTGTCTGTAACAATGCTAACAACAATGCTAACAACAATGCTAACAACAATGCTAACGTGCCACCATAGCTCATGCCCAGTGTCAAATACTTGCCCATTCTAACCCATGAGAAACCATGCTAAAGCACCAAAGTAATGCACGCGGTCGTCTGTCTACGTCACCGGAGCACAACAGGCGTTTTACAATAGAATGTATTCAGTGTATACAGATTGATTTGAATAAAGTAACACATACACACACTAAAAAATAGCTCAAAGAATGTGTTGCAGTGACGCAAAATTTGATTAACTAATTAACATAAGTTTAACAAATTCTACATTTTGAATGTATATTAATCCATTACTAATAAACGCTGTACAACTCCAACCACATATGATTGCCAGAAGATGTAACACTATATCAGTATTTGTAACTTGTAACAGCACTAAGCTAGCAGCTTTCACAAGACACAACTGTGTTCCAAATGTACACCGCGATAACAGCATGGACTAAATGAAACTGAAAAAAGTGACACACTTTAAATACGCATTTAGACTCACCTTGTATCCTTTTGACTATCCATGACGTAGAAAGAAATGAGTACATCCATGGTTTCCACACTCCGTCTGCTAGTGTCCAGCGAGAAACTGTCATGGCGGCGGTTCAGAAACTCAAGACCTGAGTTTTGGGGGCGGGACATAGGGCGGGGCCTCATTTACTCCAATCGAGGAGATTCTGATCATCTCTGAAAAATCACTCGCACTCTAGAGGCCGCTAGAGGTTATTTTACTCTAAAATGTTTAAAAAGAACTCAATTGGAGGAAAAAAATAATGACTCTGGAAATTTTACTCAGCCGTTTTTACTGTGTATTCATGCCTAAACTTAACCCATAAAATAACCCCAACCCACCCTTAACCCTAACCTTAACCATCTTACTCAGACGCCTAAAACTTAACCAGTCACCACTTAAGGAATTTTTAGTCTAAAACTAATTTGAAAGTAGAATTGTTACTTCCGGTTTCGTCCCGATTCCGTATATGACCGTTTGGGTCATGGGTCACTGATCTTTGTTGTACTTCTTTGCATCTATTTCCTGGCCATTTGATTGACATGTGCGTGTAGCCAATGAAGAAAGCTTTCTAGCAAGGGGTGGGACAAAGTTGTACTGTCTTATTTTGTGCCAGTAGAATTGTGCGTAATGGCAGTCAAAAGACGCTCTCCGCAATGAATTTACACTCATAAAAAAATCAACTTTGACATAAAAAAACAAAAAAACACATAGATTAGTAGTTTATAAGTATCAATAATAAAAAACATAGTTTTTATGATGATTGTATATCAGTAAAGTAATTTTGTGCCAAATGTACACTACTTGATGAAAAGGAGAAACTGACAGTTGTTGTCAACAACACAATGACCATAGGGTTTGAATATTGTGAACTTACATTGAAGTATGCCTTTTTTAGGCCCTTTAGAAATTGAAAATTTTAGGCGAGATTTCTTTTTTTTCCCCAAAACTTCAAAGGATACAGAGTGAAATAGGAATGACAAACATTATTTTAGTGTATATTTACATAAACTAGAAGGCTCTAGCTTTAATATGATGCATCATACAAGCATGTGACATGTAAGATGTGTTTTTAAATAAGCAAAGACATTTGGGCATGCCCAACTTTTGTGCACAAGCCAAAATGAGGCGGATGTTAAGAGGTTAACATGTTGGCACGAGGAAACAAAAGTTAAGGCAAATCTTCCTCATTCCTCATGATTAAACAAAGATTAGTCTGAAAAGTAACATTCAAAATACTTATATAGATTACCATTGTCATATTTACAACCATTTGGCAACCAGATATTTCCATGGGGTAACAAAAAACGGCATCCCCTCCCTTACAATTTCTTCAGCCCAAAATTCAGCCCCGAAGAACACTGGAAGATCCCAGCAATATACAGGGTGCGTTCTGCAATTACCTTTCTATTTCTATTTCCCCGTGTTTGAGCCAAAGTATTTTTAACTTGGCAAGGAAATATTTGCTGGTAACTTTTACTTTCACATTAGGATGGAAGGGTGGAGCTAAAAAATAGGCTTATAAATGCTTGTAAAGAGTCTCAACAGAAGAGGAGAACCCACAGAGAAGGTACGTTTTTAAAAATCTGTTATCTGCAAGTTGTGTTTCAATTGAACATTGAAAACATTATGTTTCACAGGCTTTGGAGGTCTTTGATGCTTTCTTTTCGAGATGGACTCAGACTTCAGCACAGAGGAGGAGGAATCATCAATGCATTCATTAACTGAAGGTATGACATTTTTTGTGTATTGCAAATGAATAGTTATTTTACAAAAACAGATTTGGGACATTAGAAAAATATCAGGCATACAATTTGCTCTTGATCAAGTCATTTTGTGAAAATCTAGATATAGTTTAGTGCTATACAACTAAGATCTAATTCTGTTAAATGTGCTGAAGATTGTAGCTATAGGAAAACAAATGGACACATTTTCATCTGTTTTTGAAAATAAACTTTTCAAATATTCTCCGTTTTTGAAATATTCGAAGTCGATGACGACAGTGACCATCAATCCACCGAAGAGCAACACAGCTTCTCAGTGCAAGTGGAGACCAGAGTGTTTAAGGTGCAGGTGCAAGTGCGGACTCCAGACCCCAACTTAAAAGTTCATGTCCACTCCCAGACGGCTGATGTGAAGGTCCAGCTCAAACCCTCATGCCTCACAGAGCAGGTACTTGCTTCCTTTTTATCATAATGTTATTATAGAGAAGCATTAGGCATTTTTTTCTGACACAAAAGAAACAAACAAAAGAAACATCCCAGTGGAACCAGCTGCTTTTGTCTCATTTCAAGTGATAAATTGTGTTTTTCATATTTTGGTGAAACTATAAATGTATTATTAGCACTATTATTTTCGCAGTAAATGTCTTCATGTGCATACTGTGCCTGGAATATTCCATATATGTCATTATACTTATTTTCATTGTATTATATGAATTTCAGGAGTAAAAAACAGAAAGAAAATAATAATAATGACCTATGTGATAATATGTAGTTACATAAAAATAACATATGGTCAATGAGATATGACATAAATTATCATCAATTATTACTGTGATCGGTGTTTTAATATTTTAGCAAGAGAGTAATATTTGAGGTGTGCTTGGTCCACTTTCAGGACGTTGAACAGAGAGCACTGATGCAACAAGAACCAGGTGAGCGATGATGTGCATGTATGAGTCAATTACAGAGGCTAATCATATTCTAACAAACCTTTAACACTTTACAGATGGACTGAACAAGAATGGACCCGTGTTCAAATTGGAGGTAAGAACTACAGGGCCTCATCTCAGTAAATAAAATCCATAAATATTTATCTCATCCTATAGTTTGCTTACTTTTGATTTGTAAAAGTGGGATCATTGGGAACAAGAACATCATTCATGGATTGTTTGGTGACTTTTCCACCTCTTGTTTAGGATGGCCATGCGACATTCCTGGCTGTGCATAGGAAGAACCCTGTTCAAGTGGAGATTAACATAAACCCTGAGCACCAAGGTACCCAGAAATAAAGTTATATATGGAGCCAAAATTCAAACAAAAGAAAACACAATAAAATACAAAATTCTAGATTCATAAATTATGTATATTACAATATTTCATGACATATTTCTTCACTTCAGAACATACCGATGCTCTGGAAGACATTGTTGATTCTGCGGAGAGAACGGTAAGACTTGTTCTTGAATATTTTACAAAAAAATGTGTTTTTTTGAAAGCATGACAGTAAATACCACAATATATACCATTCCCCACGGTGGTGAATTACATCAAAATAATGTTTAAGATCAATTTGTATTGCTAGTTTACCTCAACTATGAGTAGTTGACACAAGAGGTTTTATGTATTCTTTAAAAGATAATATTGCAGTTAATGCAAGCCTGCATTACCGGTACTTATAAAATGGTGGCACACAATCAGTCTCCATCAAAATACATTTAAAATGAAACTACCCACATGTGATTTAACTCCAGTGTCAGCTTTAATTTCAACAATCCAACGTTGTTTCTGCACTGCCTATAGATTGTAGGCTGCAGTTGACATGCAATAGATTAGCAACCAAGTATTAAACACTTGCATTATTGATAGTTTGTCCCAAAGTGGGGGGCACACAGAGACATGTAATTCCTACAAACTGTTATATCGACTGAAAACTTCAGAATTCAGTCGATGTTCCAAATACTTATGAGCCTGACTGTAGTACACTAATCTTATCACAACATCTATCTAATTACAAGTCAGTCATGATGTTTTGTGACAAAAATAAATTAAATTGTAAATAAATGAATACATTTATTATAAAACAATGAATCAAGTGGAGAAATATGTTTACACTATCTCATATATGGCAGCAAATCTATAGCTGCATCCATTAAGTACTAAATATAGTGACATCCTCATTTTAATTTCACAGGACAAAAGTAAAAAACAACAAATCCAGGCACTGTTGGAAAGACTCAATCTAAACGATAGACTTGAGCATAAACTGACCTCTGCTGAGCTTCTCCAAATTGGATCAGTTCTGAAACACAACGAAGACTTATCAGAAAGAAAACTCTTCTCTGTTTATCTGCACCAACTGTTGATGTTAGACTACAGGGCCAGGTATGTTTGGACTAAAGAAAAAGGTGTAACAGTGTCAAACAGTTCGCCAGACTTACACCCTCTGGACATCCAGATGGCAGTGTTCCACTGCTCAGACAGCTTTCTAAAGCAGAAGATGGTCACAAAACTGTCCCAGTGTCAGTACGCCTTACCTCTGCTGGTGCCCGAGCCCTTCACTGGGGACATCCAGTGTCCTCTGTGGACATTCAGACAGATTCAAAAAGCCAAAGTTGGAACAATGATGTCAGTCCCTATCTGCAAAGCACACACACCGATGGTGTTTTGTTTCCGTTTAGGCTTTCTGTCTGTGTCCAAATCTCAGCTCATTAACACCTTGCTTGATGACCACCACAGCACCTTCTTCCAAAGAGATTGTCCTGGCAGCCTCACCAAAAGTCACCTTCTGATTGATGGTGTAGCAGAGATCACATGGTGCTATCCAGCTGGAAAACCCACCGACATCTGTGGTGACTGTGTGGCCTTCTGTAATCTTCATGGGGATGGTCTGATCCATGATAAACAACTGAAAATATTGATGGACAAGTCCTCAGTAAATGTGGTTTTTGTATCAACACTGGGAAAAGACCATATCAATGCAAAAGTCATGTCTACCCTTCTGGAGTCCCCAAAACCCCTCATTGTCCTCATTGAAGACAGTGGCAGTAGTGCAGTTCAACTCAAACAGGGAAAATACCAATTTGGTATTAAAGGCAGAAGTCACTCAGATGTATCAGAAGAGATTAAACGCATAATAAGAGATCTTGTATCTGGTCCCTGCCAGACTTTTCAGCTTGAGTCTTTGTGTGACTCTGGAATCCATGTTGATGAACAGGACCCGTGCTGCTCAAAAGGGTTGTTTGCTGCCAGGGAAGTGATGAACATAATTGGAAGAGTAAATGTTGCCAAAGTAAAGAGCACTTTTCTTTCCTGTCAAGGTAAACTGTTGCAGGATTGGTGCAGAATAAACAAAGAACAGTATCGTCTTTGTGGAGATATTGAGAAAGAAAAATGCAAAAAGCAGAATGAGCTGCAGAAGATACGAGAAGATCAGTGCCAAGCTTCCAAAAGTGACCTGATACAGATCTTTGTCAGACACCTCTCATCATTGTCTCCCACAGAGAGAGAGTATTTCCTCACATGGACACAGATTCTAATGGACACCCATGCCATAGAAAACATGTCTTCAGTTCAGCAGAAATATCAACAGACATGGACTGAGTTCTTGGCCTTGAAGAAAGCAGCTGATAGATCTTCTGATTTAAAATGTAAGCAAGCAGAACTTGGACAAATATCTTCCAACCTTCAGTCTGTCATGTACGGCCTGGAACACATCTTCAGAGAGATGGAACAAATCTATGAAGCTCATAAGTCTCTGTCTAAACCCCCAAAGATGGAGCCAGACTGGTCTAAATACCCCGAGCTGGCAGCAGAGCTGATGATATCAGGACATCCAATGGAGCTGATGGATGGAGATGCTGGCCATGTCCCTTTAATTTGGATCTCAAGTCTCATTGATCAAATAATCTACAAACTAGGGGACAAGAGAGTCTTTGTTTTGTCAGTTTTGGGTATACAGGGCAGTGGGAAGACGACTATGCTCAATGCAATGTTTGGTCTCCAGTTTGCCGTCAGCGCAGGTAGAAGCACCAGAGGGGCCTTCATGCAGCTCGTCAAACTGTCAGAAGAGATCAGGAAAGATTTTGAGTGGGACTACATACTTGTGGTGGACACTGAAGGGCTTCAAACTCTACAGCAGGATGGAAATGCAACTATTCAACGTGACAATGAATTGGCAACATTTGTCGTTGGTGTGGGGAATATGACTCTGGTGAACATTTCTGGAGAAAATCCGTCTGAGATGCAAGATGTTCTGCAGATTGTGGTACAGGCTTTCATGAGGATGAAAAAAGTCAAACTCTCACCAAGTTGTGCTTTTGTTTATAATAAAATAACAGATGTTGAAGCAGCAAGAGAAAACATGGTTACAAAGAAGACGCTGCAAGAAACCCTGGACCAGATTGTCAAACTTGCTGCCAAAGAAGAGGTTTGCGATGCTCAACGTTTCAGTGACATCATAGACTTTGATGTTGACAAAGATGTGAAGTACGTTGGTCAACTTTGGGAGGAACGTCCTCCCAAGGCCCTTCCTAATCCAGGTTACAGTGAAAGTGTCCGAGACCTGAGGAGCTTCATCCTCTCCAAAGCATCAATGTCTTCTGGAGCAACTCTCTCGGAAATCAAAACTAAAGTGCAGGATCTCTGGAATGCACTCCTAAAAGAAAATTTTGTTTTTAGCTTCAAAAATACTACAGAAATCTCAATGTATAGACAACTTGAAGTTGCATTTGGAAACTGGACCTGGGCCCTAAGAAGTGAAATGCTGAAGATTGAAAAACTGCTTCACATGGGAATTGAAAATGAAACAATTAACAACATTGATCTGGCTTTTATTCATGGGCAAATCAACAAGAGATATGAAGAAATAAAAACAGATATGGCACAATACTTTGAGAGAAAAGAGCACAAAGAGTATTTGGTTCAATGGAAAAACCAACATGAACAAAAAATCTATGATTTTTACAATGAAATAGTCAGGCGAACAGAAAGAAATCTGCGTGATATTTTAGCAGAGAGGAAAAGAAATGAAAAGCTTAATGAGGGTAAGATTGCATTAGAGGTCCAACTAGATAAAACGATCAAGGAAGTTGCTCGACAACAACCAAAACATGTGGAAGGCGAAGACCTGGAAAAGTCTTTCACTGCTGTTTGGAAAACCTACGCTAAGGAACTGGAGGTACATGTTAAACGTGTTCGGGAAATCAACTTACCAAATGATCAAATCATGGTTCTGAAAGAAATTGGCTTTGAGGCCACTGTAATTACCAATCGAAAGAAATCAAAGCACTTCCAAGATCTATCAACGCTTGAAGACTACTCTCTTTATTCGGAGACGCCTACGCAAGTAAGGAAACAACACATCCAAGAGTTGGTTCACACAGTGAAGACAGAGGCTGAGGATATTATAAAGAGAAAACCACTGGCAACAAAAGGCTATAATGCAAACCACCTGCGAGAAATGGCACAATATGTGAATACAAGTGTGCAGGAATTTCAAACAAAGCAGAAACTTACTCTGAAGCAGGAATTTACAGTAGATCTCACTCTGTACGTCTTTGTCAGAACAGAGACATGGATTTCTGAGACACATGAGAAGTTTGTGAAGATAGAAACACAAAAGTATCTGGTAAGAAAGAGACATGAATATTACAGTGTATTCACCAGCGTCTTCAAAGGAGAGTCCGCAGCGGTGGTTCTTGCAGAAGTGATCTGTGAGAAACTGAAGGCCTCCATGACTGAGACGGTGTGTAACAGAACTGCCATTGATATAGCAGAAGAGATGAAGAACAGCTACCCAGCATTCAATAAAAGCAGGTTGAACTTGGAGAAATATGTGCTGAGATCTCTGGCAGAGAAAGGTGATTTTAACAGATACATGGCGTACATAGAGAACCCAAAGGCACACATTGAACTCTTCATCAAGGAGGAAGTGCAGGGATATATACAGAGAGAGAAAAAAGCTCCCGTTCTTCTCAAGAAAAATGTTGAGGAGATCAGCAATCTGGTCAGAATAGCTTTACACCAGGCTACCGAAAATGTGAAGGAAGGAAATGTAGAAAAATGGCTGCAAGAGTTTCACAGTTTTTTGAGAGACAAACTCAATTTACAGATTCTATCTCATAACAGTGGTGGCGTTACAAATCACAGCTTTCTTAGAGACGCCATAGAGAAACGTCTTACTCCTATTACCGAGCAGCTCAAGAGCCTCCCACTGGATCAAATGAATGAGTACCGCCTGCAGCCGGAGGAGATCCTGATAGATCAGCTTTGCAACTGTTGTTGGGAAACGTGTCCTTTCTGTGCCGCTGTCTGCACCAACACGGTAAAGAACCACCACCCTGAGAAACACAGCGTGCTAATTCACCGGCCCACAGGGATCGAAGGGTGGCATATTCGAGGAACACTGGAAATGGTCATTGATTTTTGCCCAACACTTGCTGCCAGTGACAAGAAATTCCGCCCTCAAGGCTTCCAAGATGTGGCTATTCCTTACAAACAATATCAAAGAGCTGGTGGGGCCTATGCAGATTGGTCGATCACTCCTGATGGGTCAAAGCTGGTCTACTGGAAATGGTTTATCTGTCACTTTCAGAAAGAACTGGAGGAGTACCACAAGTTGAAGTTTGTGGGTCAAGGAGAGATCCCCATAGATTGGAGGAAGTACAGTCGAGAGCAGGCAATAGAGAGTTTGGAGGAAATATACATTTAGCAATAGATGCTATAGATGTCTATGAAGGCAACAAATTAGGGGGAAAATGATAACTATTATTGATTGTAACATTTAAAGTTTTTAAGGTACACTATAATGCAAAGTTCATGCATGTATTCCTTGTTTTTTTATTGGAATTTTATTGGTAAGAGCCTTTGGAATGGCCTAAATGTCCACATCTGTTGATTCTAAAAACAAGCAGTGATGATTTTGGTTGGACCTGGTTCTACTGTTACTTTATCTTGTTTACTTATGTCATTTTATTTTGGTGTACCTCCACTTTGTATCTGTGAAAGTTGGTTTACTTACTTGATTACATAGTTCATAATAATGCATATTGCCAAATGCTATAATCAGTTTTTGATTGAAATGAAACCAATGTAATAAATGGGATTCTGAACCACACAAAACATAGATCATTTTTTTAACTTCAACTACAATAAATGAGACACTGGACAATGGTTGCATATTTCTGAACAATGTGAGTGAGGTTAGTTAGGTGTGGCTTGAACCAAAGGTAAAGAAGGATTGCTTTTGTTGATTGATTCTGAGTTTAATGAAAAAGATACATAATTTCCCTTTGCGTTTAATTGTCAGAATATAACCAATGCTGTGGTTGAGAGAGATTAGCTTTATAATGAGGTATGGCATGCCATGGTATCTCTTAGCATCAAAGCTTCTAACTTAATAGTAATTACTGAATAATTTAAATCATCTTGTGGGCCACATATAATTACAGTATGACACATTATGCTCTAGCAGATCTTGAAGGAGGTCAGTTTGAAATCCCCTCTGATTCTCAAGTACTTGATGACGTCCATGTCCTCGCGGTTCGGGAAGTGCACTTGTTGTTCATCGGGCAGCTCCACCTCAAACATGTCCCCAGTAAACGTCACCACGATCTGAATTCAAAGAGAGAAAGGACTCAATGGTAGCACATGGTAATAGAGAAACAACGCTATACTGTCACAACACCTGAATATTACAATATACCACAACCTACTGATATTATACATTTTATTTATGGACAGGAAAAGGACTGAGAAGGATAAAATCTGAGACTCTAATGTGGTTTCAGAATATTGCATAGATCCTTCAAATGCATAGAACTTTTCTGTGCGTTGCAAACCTATGGTCTTATTCTCATCTTGTTGGTGTAAAACCCATGCATTTTGACAAAGATGTTGGATCAGGTGGCTGTTTGTGTGCTTACTTATCTACATATGTGAATGGTTCTTAAATCACCTCATCAAAAAGGTCAGAGAAAATCAGAATCAGAAAACGGCCCCTAGCCATCCATCTATCCATCTATCTAGCTATAATGCAAGGAACATGACAGTATCCTGTTAGATACTTTTTTGCTGTTTGGAGTCATGTTGTGTCAGTAATGTTATAGTAGTTAAGATGCACTATACAAAACTATACTACTACAGCTATAGATTTGATTATTTCTACTCAAGTATTCCATGGTCTATTTCCTTTAAGCTGAACAAATCAGACCACAGCATGTGGCCTTAATCTTATTAGAAAAACATTATATACTTTACATACAGAGAGCTGAATGAAAAAAACTAAAAAGTTTTTTTAGATACATATTTTGCATGTTTGGTTTTATGTACAAATAATAATGTCATACAAACTACTGTATGGCTTCCACATGTCACAATCATGTGCTCCATTAATTCAGTGCATTTAATACTCCCTTTATGCGTTTCACAATACAGTCAATAGTTTCACAAGTAGATATGTATGTCATGAAATTAAATACAGGGGACAATAGCAAGTATGCTTTAAAAACCTGAGACTTTATGCTGTGGCTACAGTAGTAGTTTATGGAGTAATGACATGTAAAGCATCTTTGAGTGTCCAAAAAAAGCGCTATATGAAAATCATGCATTATCAAAACTAGATAGACTAGATCACGATACGATACGATACAAAGCTCACGATAACGATAATATCACGATAACAATAATATCACGATAACAATTTTAATCACGCTAACGATTTTATCACGATATGACGATAATCAATATATTGGTCAGAAATATACCATGTGCCAATTTATGGCATAAATAAAAGAAAAATTTTAAGTGAAAAAATACACTTTATTTCATGATAAATGGAATGGAGATGCGTAATGTAGCCATATATTAAGTATTGTTTTTTTTTTAAAAATCAATATTGATATGCAAATCCATATCAATAATCGAATTGCGGGAGAAAGTATCTATCGTCACACCCCTAATCAAAACCAGCACAGAAATCAAACAATTTCACCAAAGGCAAGACACAAGATGCATTATTTATCATATATCCAAAGTTGTACATTTTTCCTAACCCTAACCAATATTATTGGCATCCTACCTTGGCTTCAGCCCCTTTGTGCAGAGTGCAGTTCACTTCCCGCTTCTCATCGCCCCAGCAGCCAGCCATCTTAGAGTTACACACAAAAACGTTTCCATCGAGATCATCATTGAAACGAGGATTAAAATGCAGAGCTAAATCCTCCTCATCCCAGCCGAGGTCAATCTGGAATCTTAAAACAAAACTCACTGAGAAATCTACATTTAATGAGTGAATGAGTCTTTCAGGTTAAGCTTCACCCGTGTTTATACCATGGATCTATGGATTTTACCTGTCAGCGTCATGCAGAACCATGCCTTTTATTTTCAGCTTGTCCCCAGCTTTCAGTTCCATATGTTTCATTTCTAATTCCTGAAAAATGAAAAACAAAATGCACTTATATCAAATCTATGCTTTGCAGTGATAGAGATTAAAAGAGAATTGAGCCTACATGTTATCTGTAAATGTAGAGTATACATTGTTATAGTCAAAATGAGACAATGTATAGATTTGGTCATTTCATACTTGTAATCCAAACAATGAATTCAGCAAACATAAAAAAGTACATAAAACATTCAAGTTGACTTCGGGAACAAATAAAACTGCATCAGCCTTACCATGTTTGCTGCTGGTGTGCTGGGAGAGCAATGGAAGGGGATTGGCTTTATCCTGAAAAAACAGTAATAAAAAAAACGTTATTGGTACCTCAACTTGATTCTTTACATAACAAGTTATCACTATTAGCTCCATTATGATATTGATAGATTAGTTACACTTGATGTGATCTAGTGGCTTTCATCATCTCTGCCACAGAACTGTTTTAAGACCCCAAAAGTACATCTTGTGGTTCTGTGGCTTCAGTATAACATTAGTTAAATTAGTTATTTACCGGTTGAGCAAACGCTGCAGGACGAGACCACAGACCACCCGTGTGCCTCTGTGCCAGCCCCATCATGGATCCATTATATATCTACAATAATCCTATGGACCAATCCAATCCCACGATCCAGTCACCTGTGGCCGTGTTTTCCGGATGATACCGGAAGTGACGCACCAAAGTAAATAATGAGCCTTTAGTGCATTCTATAATGGTGAAAAGTGAATACAGTCCGTCACTTTGAGGACACAGTTCGTACTAAGGCGTCGAGCGTGTATACAGTAGGTAATGTTTATGATTTTTACAGTTTCATCACTGCCTGTTCCACCTGCTATTAGCATCGAGTAGCTAGCTAAATTCAGCCTTGTTTGTTGTTATCACTCTGAACACATTTTTATTATAACACATGCATTAGAGTGTCCATTGCCTGTATTTTTTTCAATAATCTGTATTGGAAATTAGCGATCGTGTTATGAGTCTGTCATGTAGCAGCAGCTGTCAGTCCACCTGCTCGAGTAATGGGGGGCGATCAGATGTTTCCGAAAGTCCTGCACAATTCTGATCGTCTTTTTCCTACCACCCTCACAGCTCGTATTGGCAACTCCATCCAATAGTGATAATAATACATTATATATTTTGCACCTTACATTTCCAGGAAACCTCAACGTAGTGCAATATGTTCACAGACATGGATTACGAGCTGGAAGAAGACAAGCTGTGAGTTTTTAAGTGTTCCATAAACAGGTCGCGCAGATAGAAACACCTCAAGATGACATTGTTTTAATATATTTCTTTTTTTCTTTTTTTTTAAAGTGGGATTCCAACAGTTCCCGGAACAGTGAGCCTGAAGAAAGATGCCAACAATTTGATTGGAATAAGCATTGGGGGAGGGGCACAGTACTGTCCTTGTCTCTACATTGTGCAGGTGGGACTATTTTGGATTTACTCTGCTTCTAATAGTTGTAACGGAAAATGTCGCCTTTGTCCCTCACAGGTTTTTGATAACACTCCTGCAGCTCTGGAGGGCACACTGGCCGCGGGAGACGAAATAACAGGAGTTAATGGTAAAGCAGTGAAAGGAAAGACAAAAGTGGAAGTCGCAAAGATGATTCAAGCTGTCCAGGTACAATACTAAACAAATGGTATTACTTCATTCAAAAATCGTGGAATCAGAGCTGTACTCACGTTTAATTGTGGGAAATCTGCGGTCAGTGCTGAAGCCCACCTCTGGACTGTGTGGACTGTGGTGACAAAGTTATTCTATGTGAGGCTGAGCTAGAGGGGCATACAATGAACAAAAGCTACTGGTACTACGTCACCAACCTACTCAGCTATGTTGTTTTAGAAAATCATTGTCCACGAGCAGAAAGAATCCATGACTTCCTGGACCTGGATTAAAGTCAGACAGTATTGTGAGAATAACAGGATTAGTTAGTTTGACCGTTGTCCACATTATAAAACTCACATGTGACAGTAACAGTGTAATGACAATATTTTTGCTTTTCAGGGAGAAGCAGTCGTTCATTATAATAAATTGCAAGCGGACCCAAAGCAAGGGAAATCACTGGATATAGGTCTCACTTGCCTGTTTTATAATATGTTTTTCTATTGTCATGTTTAGATAAATTTAAATATCTATTATCTTTTTGTTTCAGTTCTAAAAAAAGTGAAGCATCGTCTTGTTGAGAATATGAGCTCCGGTACAGCAGATGCCCTCGGACTTAGTAGAGCTATTTTGTGCAACGGTAAGACACCATTTTATCTGTTGTGATTACTTTGAACCATAGAAAATGAGTATAGCTTTTATGTCCTAAAAGTGTTGAAAATTAGCATGATCTTGGTATAACACTAAAGGCAGTGCATGTGGTCTGTCCAATGAAACTGTTGTTGCTATATCAAAAAAATAATGTGTGTGCAGATGGTTTGGTGAAGCGACTAGAAGAACTAGAAAAGACAGCTGAGCTCTACAAAGGTAAATTAAGGAGTTATCAAATGCCAAAAGTCCTGTTTAGTGCCACAGCTGTGATGTGTGAATGGTTTACAGGACTTATGGAGCACACAAAGAGACTGCTGAGAGCTTTCTTTGAGCTGGCCCAAACTCACAGAGGTCTGTCTATGTGTATCTGTCAGTGTTCTCAGTTGTATTCATGCTAAAATGCTATAAATAAAACCTCCTCTTTGCCTAAACAGCCTTTGGTGACGTCTTCTCTGTTATTGGGGTTCGGGAGCCGCAGGCCGCAGCCAGTGAGGCGTTTGTAAAGTTTGCAGTCGCTCACCGCAGCATTGAGAAATCAGGTATTCAGCTTCTGAAGACCATCAAACCGGTGAGTTATGTTTGAATATAAACTGCCTCCTGTTCTTGTGCTGCTCTTATTGTATCATCTGGTATTTACAGATGCTCCATGACCTTAACACTTACCTTCACAAAGCCATTCCAGACACCAAGCTTACTATTAGAAAGTATCTAGATGTCAAGTTTGAATACTTGGTAAGAGAAATCAAGTTATTTTGATTAAATTAAATTTAAGATTGTATTAAATTGGTTTTGTGTCTTTTAGTCTTACTGTTTGAAGGTTAAAGAAATGGATGATGAAGAATACAGCAGTATTGTGAGTGCAATGTGAATTCAGCACTGAAGTCTTTGTTGAAATATTGCCTATTTGATGATGAGTTGAAATATATTTTCTCCATCAGGCTATGGGTGAGCCCCTGTATAGAGTTAGTACAGGTAACTATGAGTATCGCCTGATTCTCCGATGTCGCCAAGAAGCCCGTGCCCGCTTTGCAAAAATGAGGAAAGATGTTTTGGAGAAAATAGAACTTCTTGATCAAAAACATGGTATGTGTTATTTTGGAAATTCAATTCAATTAAAACAACACTATGGATTTTGAATATAAAATAATATATATTTAATTGCGGTTAAATACAGTATAAAAATATAAGGTATTTCATATCACTTTGTATTATTAAACGTGTATAGGGACAACACAGTGGGTGCATTATGTTAGAGAATGAGTCTGGTGTGTGTGAATGGTTGGTGGTGGTCAGAGGGGCCGATGGCACATACTGGTTGTGCGTGTTTTTAGTGGTCTGAGAAACTAGAGCACCCGGAGGAAACCTACGCAGACACAGGGAGAACATGCAAACTCCACTCAGAAAGGCCCTGTTGCTAAAGTCAGGATTTGACAGACCACTTGCTCTGGACTGTAGACAAATAGCCTGCTCCCATTGTTTCACCTGTTCTTTCTGTAAAAACACTTGTAATTGTTTAACTAATCAGTGCTGTTTCTCAAACACAGTTCAGGACATCGTGTTCCAGCTGCAGCGCTTTGTTTCAAGCATGTCACACTACTACGATGAGTGTTACGCAGAGCTGAAAGAGGCAGACGTGTTCCCCATCGAGGTGGACCTGTCTCGAACCATGCTGAGCTACAGCAGCCAGTCCTTCTCATACACAGATGAGGATGACGAGGAGCAGGGGGGCACCGATGAACCGGTTCAACAGAGAGAGAACGGCGCGGAGAAGCTGATAGATGATGACTAAGCAGCTGCTTCAAATCAAACCCCTTTTAATTTTTTAAATAAGAAATCATGTAAAAGTGTCAGGATCAGGTCACATCGTTGAGTAGATTTGGATCAGTGCTGAGTGCGAGTCATAAATGCAGAATAACATGCATGAGGTGTGCCTTTTGTTATGTGAGGAGGTATATTCACATATGCATACATACTTACATGCATATATATATTATGATATTATATATAAATAATAATAATAATAATAATGCATCAGTTTTATATAGCGCTTTTCTGGACACTCAAAGACGCTTCACATGTGTCATTATTCATTCACTCCATACACGGTGGTGATAAACTACTACAGTAGCCACAGCTGCCCTGGGGCACACTGACAGAAGCGAGGCAACCAGTATGTGCCATCGGCCCCTCCGACCACCACCAACCATTCACACACACACCAGACTCATTCTAGGCAATGGGGGTGAAGTGTCTTGCCTAAGGACACAACGGCAGTTTGGCACTTTACAGCCGCAGCCGCCCCACTGTGGCTGGTGTTCCCAGAGGTTAAGTGTCTTGCCAAGGACACAACGACAGTAGTCAGTGGGAGTCGATGGTGAAAGTCCTGAGCGGGGCTTGAACCCACGAACTTCTGGCTCAAAGGCCAACGCTCTACCAACTGAGCTACTGCCGCCCTTATATTATATATATAAATATATATAATTATATTATATAGAAATATAATATAAACGTATGTGTCATTCTACTGATGCGTTAATGGAGCTGTAAATCTGGCAGTCTGTTCCTGTTCCATAAGTAACTTTTCCCATTTGGAATCCCACTTTTTTGAAAAATCAAAATATCAAGAGTTTAAATACACGACAGAGGCTAACTTCAATCTAGTAACTGCTGTCCACAGGGTTGTGGTTTCAGCTGGAAACATAAAATATGACAAACCCTGTTCACTACTTTGCAGTTTTTCATTTTTGATAAACATACTTTATATATTTATGTAGATCTTTTTTTTTTTTTTTTTTTTTTTGTAAATCCCAAAGTTTTTATAAGAACTTTGCAGCTCCATAGTACTCAAATTAAGTTTATTCATCAATTTCACTATATCTTTACATTTCCTCTGTAAATTGTTAACACAACAGATGTTTTGTGTGTTAAATGCAATTGTGGAATTCACATTGTCCAATATGTAAATCGTGATAGTATGAAATTTTAGCTATTTATTTTTGGGCCAGTTGTGCACATTACATGCCTTTTATTAAATTTGTATTGTTATATTATTATTAATATTATTATATTTTTCACTAAAGCTATGTAACCCTTCATTGTTTTCTAATAAATCCTTGTGTTTTCGTTATGGTCCAGTTTTGACTTTCTCACGTTATACCAGCAGGGGCCGTCGTGAGCTAGAAGCGACTCCACATGGATGTTATGAAATATCTTGCAGCTAAAAGACATTAATCTATCTTAATATTTACAGTCTATGTTTCTATCTCACCAAAAAAGAGCAAAGCGAAACAGATCAAATTAAACTTTTTTTTTTAAGACGAGGGTATTTTGGCCACAGGCGCCAAGGTCATTATAGAGATATCATTCTATGTCTTATGTTTACAGAAATGTATTTTTAGCCAGCCACACGTTCTGAATAGTAACGTTTGATTACGCAGTAAACTGGTCAACGCAAAAATAACTCTTTTAGTGAACATTTATATACACTTTTTGCTATTCTTAATGGCATCGCAGCCCCAGTGGCCTAATGGATAAGGCACTGGCCTCCTAAGCCAGGGATTGTGGGTTCGAGTCCCATCTGGGGTGGATTGTATTTTCTTATAGTTTTTTATAGTTTTGACCTAAAAATGTGTTTATAGAACAGTAATTCAGTCGCTGACCATTGAATGGACCTTTCAGACACACAGCATTTACTTAAAATGCTGTGTTGTGCTGTGCAAAAAAAAGTTGTTTTATGTCTGTATTTGTCTGTGCACACTGGTGACTTTTGCTAATGTATTCCATTGTGGGTTTTTTTTTTTACTGCAAATGGCAAATGAACGGAATCGGAATCGGAAAATGTAATGTACAAGTGTGACTAAATCCAACCAATCAGAAATCACACCGCCTCAAAAATTCCTTCCTTCCTCGTGCGCTAAATAAAATACCCTCAGTTCCCACCAGTTGTCATACTACACACGAACAGACTGGTGCAATGTTTTTAACACCGCAATGGTGTGTTTGTGTTTTGGCTGTTTTCAGCTGCTCGAGAGCGACCTTCGCTTCTCCAAACAGTGAGTCGATCGAGATCATGTGAAATCAGGAATTGCTACAGAGATAATAATATGTGTATTACGTTACATGTTTTAATGAACAGTAATGGTTATTTTAATATAGTGATTATTTTCGTGTCACCATATAATGTATCATATGTATGTAGTAGATTGTAGTAGTGTGTGCATTACTCCTAACACAAGTTTATAACCCATGAATCTCAACTTTAACTGTAAATTGTCTCATGGATCTGTTTCAGTGTCAGCAGCCACTGTTTACTGGCACCCCTCCGACAAAACTGTGGTGCTGAAAGAGGGGGTTCTGGAGACGGAGGGAGATGCATACGGTTACCTCAACAATACCATTAACAGCACGGGTTGGAGTGTCCTGGAGATCCGGGCTGGCTATGGAAAGACCCCCGAGAAAGATGAAATTACCTTCTTTCTTGCTGGATACTTGGAGGGTTACTTAACAGCACAGTAAGTGTCTGGAATGTGCTGTAGGGGCACTGCAAAGAAGCTGTCCCATGCTTCATTATGTAGAATACCGATCTTAATACAATTATGTTGGACTGCTCCTTGTCTTAAGAAGAATTTCGCACAATACTAATGTGTTAAAGCATAAAACTTATTTCAGAGGATAGATTACGTACTATGTTTATGGCTTGCAATTAAATGTCTATTTTGTATTCTCAGGCAGATGTTGGACCACTACACCAATATGCTGCCACAGTTAATACATGACAATCTGACTCTCAGCCTTGTTAAGACTTTCATTGAGTAAGTTTTCTTTTGTCTTCTTTAATGTAAAATATTGGTGATTTGCAGCACAGATTGAGATGATGAATTGTACACATAGGAAACAGGATTCATGGGTCAGATCACAAGTAAAAGAAAAGCAGAATGATCCTTTGTGGGCACATGCCGGCTTCATCATGGCACAGATGGATGGACTGCAGGCTGGAGTAACTGACTGGGCCAAGAAACATGGGAAAAAGGTGTGTTTCTTATTCACACAGTATAATATACACACATTAAGAATCCACAACCATCCACTGTAACTGGAGAATGCATAGATAAGAGAACTCTGTCACAGAGGGTATATGTTCTGTGAAGTAGCAGCAATATTGTTTTGCGGATTGTAAAAATCATGTCAAATGAGGAAGTTAAAACTCTGCCAATCTGCTGATCGTGAATCATGGTTTGGGTGGTTCATTATTTGAAAAAAAGGCACAAATATCATGTTGTTTGTTCTAACTCTGATACTGCAATGAAAAGTGATTGTATGTATATCTGGTTGTTGTCTGCATTCTCCACTTTTTGCATGTTGTAAAAATAGTGGTTAACTTGTCTCAAGTTAACAGTAATTCCTATGTGAAAATACACAGGAATCAATGTGTTTTTGTGAAACATGTTTGCTATCTAAAAGGTGCTTATCTGCACTTGTTTCCCAAAGCCACTCTCCAAGTTTGGTGTGCAGTTTCTGAACGGCGTTGGAGATCTGCTGGATCTGATCCCAGCCCTGAACCCCTCTCACCCTCCTCTCCGGGACTTCAAGCTCCCTGGGATGGGGCACTGCTCTGCTCTCATCAAGGTTAAATATATGAATATTTCTATATAGAATAGATCTCTATTCTATATTTAATATAACACATTTTTTTACATTTTCAAAATCTACCTGTTGCTCGGCCACATAGCACCTACAAATGTTTGTTGTACCAACGAGGTAGCAATATACAATATAGAAATTGGACACTAATGTATTAGACTAAAGGAATGAAAATCTCACAATAATGCTGACCTTTAAGTGGTAAATATGGTTTTTATATAGTTCATCCAGTTTCTAAGTGTCACGAGGGGAAATGAAGAAAAAGGGAACCCAAAATGCAGGACTGAAAATCAAATGTAATTTAATAAAATTCTAATCCAGAGTGACAAAAAGAACAAAAATCCAAAACTGAAAAACTTGACATGCAGGACAAACATGGTGGAGACAACAGATGGACAACAAGTGGGGAAAAGCACAGGGTATACAGTAAATACACGCAGGAGACACAGGTGGGTCACATTGGGGCGGGGCTAACAATCGACTGGACAGACAGGAATCAAACTCAAAATACAAGAGAACAAATAAAGTAAATTAAACCATGTGAAAATAATCCAAAAAGTCCACACCATGACACTAAGTGAGTAATGCTTCATCCCGCAGATACTTCCTGGCTTTGAGAACCTGCTGTTTGCACATTCCAGTTGGTACACTTACGCTGCCACCATGAGGATCTACAAGCACTGGGACTTCCATGTCACAGAGCCACATACAGCGACAGGAAAACTCTCTTTTAGCAGCTACCCAGGCAAGCAGTACACACTCACCCAAGCAATTACTATACAATACAATACTAAATACAAATTATGATTTTTAACTTTAATATATGGCAAAAGATGGTAGATTACAACTTATTTGTAGAAGTATTAGTAATAGTCATTTTAAAAAAGCACCTCTGTACAGTCTTTATGTTCTATGTGTGGACCTGCAGGATTCTTGGTGTCTCTGGACGACTTCTACCTCTTGGGCAGTGGCTTGATGATGACACAGACCACCAACAATGTGTTTAACTCCAGTCTCTTCAAGCTGATCACCCCTGACAGTCTGCTGGCCTGGCAGAGGGTTCGACTGGCCCATAGCCTGGCCACTACAGGGGAGGAGTGGGCAGACATATTCTCACTCCATAATTCTGGTAACACAATTCAATTCAATTCAATCTATTTTTGTGTAGCCATAAATCACAACAGTCGTTACAAAACCGTTGAATTCACCAACAGATCAGAAAATCAAACCGTTCAAACACAAGAAATGCACTGAGAAAAACACAATGAGCCATTGGTCCAGAGCGGGCAGATCACCAATGTCCATACATGTTGTTGAATGTTGAGGGTCCTGGATTATCACCACGCTATGCAATCTGTAATCCATGCACTGGGATGTTGAAATAATAAGATAAGATAAGAGAACCTTTGACTCCCACTGTGAGGAAATTTCAATGTTGCAACCGCACATACAGGACCGTAGTAAGAGCACACAGGCGGCACACAAAACATACAATATGAGTAGCTGCTATGTTTCTTAGCTAGCTGTAAACGCATCAATAACTTGTCTTTGTCTGGTGTAGGCACGTACAACAACCAGTATATGGTGTTGGACAGAAGTAAGGTGAAACTGGGCCGCAGTGTGGAGGACGGGGCTCTGACGGTGGTGGAGCAGATCCCAGGACTGGTGCAGTCCTCCGACCAGACTCAAGCTCTGCGGCTAGGTACAAATACTTAAAATAAACATACAAATGAAAGAAACACATTATAGTTTGCAGTTCCTCAATGACAACGCCGGATTGATCGACTATTCAACTAAAGAAGATGATTTTCAATTCTATTCTTTCTATTCTATGTGTGTGTAATTGTTAAAAAACCTGTTTATATGGAAACATGCTAGCTTAGTTCAAAACTGATTGGTCCAGTGCATTCATAGTAAACATATGTCATTGACCTTGTACGGCGTTCCTGTTGGTGCTGACTTTCTGCAGGTTACTGGCCGTCCTACAACATACCCTTCCATGAGAATATTTACAATCTGAGCGGGTACCGGCAGATGTGGCAGGAGTTTGGAGACGACTTCTCTTATGACCTCTGCCCCAGAGCCAAAATCTTCAGACGAGACCAGGCCGGAGTGATGGATCTGAAGTCACTCAAGCACATCATGAGATACAACGGTACGTGTGTCTCTTTGTATAAACTTGGTGTATGTGTTTGTTTGGAGCAGTGGTCTCAAACTGATCCTCTGCCGCTGCGCCTGTGGGTTTTCTGTCTAACCAAGCAGCACACTAGACACAACCTCTTTCATGTGAGTCCAGTCTCAACCTGATGACTTGAAAAGTCTAGTCTTAGAGGAGACTGATGCTGCGTTCCACACAACTAGGAACTAGGAACATCCAACTTGATAAAATGCCCTGGAATGTTGCTCAAACTGGTAACTCCCAGGTGTGTTGTGGTGATGACATACAAGATAAGTTTATCTTGTGTGTGATAAACACATCTCGTACATTTATCACATACCAGATGAACATTGTACAAAACAGATAAGTACCATATAAAGTATATCTGAGGTGTCGTACATCATTTAATTGTATTCTCATTGTATGAGTCGGCTCTACCTGCTGAGGAGGCTCTACCTGCTCAGGAGACTCTACCTGCTGAGGACACTCTACCTGCTGCAGGAGGCTTTACCTGCTGAGGAGGCTCAGGTCTTTTGGAGTGCAGGGGCCACTCTTGAGACCTTCTATGAATGTGGTGGCATCAGCCATCTTGTGCGCTGTGATCTGGACAGGAAGAAGCTGGAACAGGTCATCAGGAAGTCCAGCTCTGTCCTGGGCTGTTCCCTAGACACAGTGCAGCAGGTGGGGGACAGGAGGGTCCTGGACAAACATCTACGTGGACCATGACTGTCACCCCCTGCAGGACACTCTGTCTGCTCTGGAGAGCAGCTTCAGTGACAGACTGATCTATCCTTGCTCTGTGAAAGAGAGGTTTTGCAGCTCTTTCCTCCCAGCTGCTGTCAGACTGTACAATGAGAACTGCTGAGCCTGTACATGCCATCTCCTCTGTAAATAGTAAATACTGCAATCATGTTCAATTCTGCGATTTCAGAATGACCGCTGAGTGCCTACTTTATATATAAAGGTTCTCTTATCTTCTCTTATTTAATCCTCTGAAATGATGTGCCTGGAGCACATCAGGGCACATGGACAGTTTTTGATCATTTACAGAACAAAGTCATATGGAATGAATGACTGAGCAAGTGAATAGGTGAACAAGGAAGTGATGAACCTGTGTCACATTCATAATTGCTTCTTGTAATCTGAGTTGTTTGTTTCAGATTACCAGAAGGATCCATACTCCAAGAAGGACCCGTGCAAGTCCATCTGCTGCCGCAACGACCTGAAGGCAGTGAAACCGTCTCCAGGAGGTTGCTATGACACTAAGGTTAGTTGAGGAGATCATCAAATTTAGAAGTAGATTTGGGTCAAATGTGAGGTTTTACGTTCATAACAATGTGTGTTTGTGTTTTCATCATAACCTGAAGGTGACGGACTACAACATGGCCGCAGAGTTCAGGGCGGAGGCTGTGAACGGGCCCACCTCCCAGGGGGGTCTGCCAGTGTTCACATGGGACAGGTTCATCAACATCAGCCATGTGGGCCTGCCGCACTTCTATAACTACAGCTTCGTCCCCATGGGGCCTCTCCTCTTCCGTCCTTGAGGTTTGGCGTAAAGTGGACTTTGACTCAGGGAGCAGGTGCATTTAGGCGAGATCTGCCACATCCAAAGGAGTTCATTTTAGACTTTTCATCCAAAAGGACATTTGGACGATCAAGTGTTTGCTTTCATATGATTATAATTTATGTTGTGATACTGTGCAATGTTTTTATAGTTGATGATTTTACTCAGGGCTCAAAGGTTTGTCATAGACATAGCTGTACAGACTTTTCTGTTTTCATGTTTTGCACCCTTTTGGATACAGCACACTAGTCCAGGCTACTGGGATGTGTGGACTTATTTGAAACCTTCTTGTCATGGACTTGGCTCATGGATTATTCATTGATGTTAAAGAAAAATCAGGAAAAACTAACAGCAATCACTGTATCAGTTAAAGCAGGTCATTGTTTTGTTTCCAATCATTTTCTATGAAATATTGAGAGTGAAGAAATAAAATGAAATTTGTGTAAAAGTGCATAATACATTTGATAATACACATTAAACAGGTTCAGGCTGTTTCTACAGCAATAAATGCTTATTCAAAAATATTCTTCTGGTCACAGTTGAAAACTTGAACATTGTCTGTGTGCTGTTAGCTCGATATGAGTCACTGTGAGACTGAGGGTTTTTCTGCTCAAGTCACACTAATATAGTGCTTGAAACAAAGTTAACTTTATTTTCTTTGAAAATTAGAATAAAGTTCAGAAGTCCATTTATGTCTGTGATTCAACTTACAAAGTTAAACTAATTTATTACACTCACTACACGCAAAGTGTCTGTATTTATATATAAGCCTGTATTTGTTATTATGTTGATAATCAGCAGCTTTTAAAAATCCCAAATAAAACATCTCACAAAATTAGAATACTGTGAAAATGGACTGTCGGCCGTAATCATCACAAATGGCAGTTGTAATAAGTGTATATGATTTATTGGTTTCATATGTCGAATTACAGAAATATAAAAACTTTTGAATGAGAACTTTCACCTAATAGTTTCACGTATATATACAGTATAAACATAATACTCAAGCAAATCAATATCCCATTGAAATGTGTTACAAAAGTATAGTAATAATCATAAAGTATTACACATTGTAAGAATCCCGTGAGACCAGAGCACTTCTCTCTGTGGACCCCCAGGGGACACATTCAGGCTTTCCTCTAAACATAGGAAGTGAAACGTCTGTTAAAGCTGCAGTTTTCTCTGTCCATGTCTCAGAACAAAGCCTTTATGTCACTCTGTAACAACAACAACACCACTCTCTGCGATGTCTAAAAGGATCTGTGAAGCAGGATTGAGATGGGACAGTCTGCTGAAGGAGTGCATGCCCCTGGACATGAGGCAAAGACGACCAACCACCACTGGTGAGATCTAGAACACGTTAATGTCATTATAGGACTTTAACTAATGCTGCTTTTAGAACCGCTCATCACAGCACTGGTCCCGCAGATACACACGGCCGCTGTGGAGCAGACAGCAGGGGTTCAGCCGGCTCTGTGGCTCCTGGTGCTGCTGGCAGCTCTGGGCTCCATCCTGACTCTGCTCCTTTGGCTCTTCTTATACAGAAGACACTCACGACGTTTGACTGGTACGACACTACTCCTTTGACAGACCACAGATACCACTAACTCTGCCTACTTATTTTTCTTTCATTGCAAGAATAGTTCAGAACTTAATAAAACAGCCTTCATGCATGATATCATTAATAATATTGTTTAGGTTTTTTTGGTAACCTGTAGTCACAGCTGCCCAGGAGTAAAAGTGGCTGTGAGTTTGGCCAACGATCACAAATTACATTTACCCACCACATGACTCTGTACAGGAGAGGTCGGGGAACATGGGGAAACATTCTCTGAACATATTAACTCAGAAATACGTTTCAAATAATTCAAAACATACAGTATTTCAATTAAAACAGTAGGATATTTGTTTTAGAAGCAAAATGGCAGCAGAAACAGAAAGTGGGTCTGGCCAGAGGCCCCTTGATCCCCAAAGTCTCTACTCACTGTACATCTGTTGGTGTGGGAGGATGTGTGAACCCTTGTTACAACTGAAGGAAACTTAAGCAATTGATTTGATGAAAAAAGAGAAGAGAACACATTTAAGAGGTTGTCTGGATTCATTTTGGTCTTGGTTTTTTAAGAGAAGAAAATATATTTGTAAAGCACTGTCAAGTAACACTCAAAACCTCTAGATTCTAAACAGCACTGAATTCACGCTTTCCAAAACCCAGATATTTTACAAGGTAATTTTATAATGATAATAATGAATTATATTGATGACACAGTAAGGTAGTCAATATCCCATTGTGTACCACCACTTTTAAAATGATGTTTCTTGCTGCAGGGGAGGAACCAGCAGAGCCAGAACCTCTCAAAAGAGACCCACCAGCCACAAACTACAACCTGGCCCCATGTGGCCCATGTCACACTGGGCCACACACTGGGCTCCACACTGGGTGCCACACTGGGTGCCACACGGCCCCTGTATGGCGCTCCGGAGGCGGAGGTCACAGCCTGATGGAGCATGAAGACAGAGACTGGTGTGGACTCACAGGTTCTGCTGTGACACAGGAAACTGTTCCACTTCCAACCACTAAGCTGGTCACCACCAAAACTCTTTGAAGCAACACAACAAAACAAAACCATACGATGGAACATCTGCTGTTGTGTAGAATGTCCTATTGTGGAAGATTACATCCAAAGGAACCAAAAGGAGGTGGACCTCCTTACATTTCATGTTTGTGGAGATGCAGGTCCTCTCAGTTATCTCACATGCAGTAACTTTTTTATAATACTTGCAATGCATTTCGTCTATCAAGCATCAGGTGGAATAATGAGTCACAAATAGTCTATGAAATGTGGTGTGAATGTATAGAAATTACCTAATTTTAAACAAGTTCTGCAGGTAAAGAGAAATATTCTCACATTTATTTTCTCATCACATATTATACATCGGCTGAACACAAGAGGTATAAATGTGAATTGTCTTAGTAGCAGCAAGAGTTATTTACACGGTAAACACATTTTGTAAAAAATCTCAATCAATGAGCTTTGAAACCAGGAACATGCAAAAACCGAACATCTCCAAAGAGATGGTTGTGGCTGAGCTGGGCTACATGGGTTTTTATCAAAGAAACATGAAATATGCTTTATCTTGTGTTTTTGACATAAATAAATCACTGTGGCCCTCTTTGTATTCACCTTTTCACAGACGCCACTATTATCTGTGGTTCTTTTTAGAGTCGTGTGATTTTGTATAAAACAAATCACTATATGTGAACTGAATAATTGTTTCTCCATTTTATTGAATGGGATTCCTGTCTAACTGATACATAACAAAACCTCAGCAGTGCAGGTCGATTGCAGTCAGGAGTAACGTGGAAGAAGGTGAATAAGATGTATGTACATGGGAGGATAAGACCTTCTGGAAGCTTGGTCTGTGCCTGTGCAGGGGGCTCACAGATATGTGCTGGGGTCACTGTCTGTGACGGCCAGGTGAAAGTAGTCTGGCGGACCACTCTGGGTACTGCTGTTGGTCTCCCTCCGCCGTATCTTGGTGGACAGGGTCTTCCTCTTCTCAAAACCCTCGGTACATGCTGCACGCTTAGCTAAACTGACTTTGATCATTTCTGCCAAGTCCTGTTGAAGCCGCTGGAAGTTTTCGCTGTGTCATCACATGTAAAATACAAAAATCCCACTTGATAAACTAAGAATAGTGGATGTGTGTGTTTATTGTTGTGGTGTAACTCACGCAGTTGGAGGAGTGGGTAGGTTGTATTTCTGTCCAGTTACACCAGTCAGCCAGTAGGTAATTTCTTTTCCTTTTCCCTATAAGAAAGACTTGAGTAAACATCTCATTTGTCTGCACAGAAAAGACTTTGAATGCATCACCTTGAGGTAAGTCTCTCCTCTCTGCTCGTACTCAAACTGGCAGTCTGTTCGCTTCAGTATGTTGATGGTGGACTTGCTCACATGTATCCTCAAAGCTGTAGAAATAAACAGATAAATCAAACATGGAAAACACCCATGTATTAAATTATAAAGTGTAATCTTACGCAGGCCCGTAGACTCCATCCTGGAAGCTGTGTTTACTGTATCCCCAAATAAACAGTAACGAGGCATCTTGTTCCCCACCACCCCAGCCGCACAGGGGCCTATGCATGAACACACATTATTACATAGTATTATATCATTTATGATGTTTACAAAAATTATTAAGCATAAAAACTCTCTCTCGACACAAACAAGCGTGATTCTTTACCAGAATGAACACCAATCCGTATCCAAAGTGGAATATTTGGCAAGTGTTCGAGCTGGAATGTCCCTACAAAGGACAGTATGTCAAGAGCCATGTGGGCAATGTCCACTGCGTGTCTGTCCCCATTGCGGTTAGGTAAACCAGAAGCCACCATGTAGGCATCTCCTATTGTCTCCACCTGGAAAATAACAGCATGAGTCTTGAGAAGTGCAAAGGCCATCCAAAGATATAATAATGATAATAATGCATCAGTTTTATATTGTGCTTTTTTGGACACTCGCAGACGCTTCATGCGTCATTATTCATTCATTCCATACTTCTGTAGCCACAGCTGTCCCGGGCACACTTACAGAAGCAAGACAACCAGTATGTGCCATCGGCCCGTCCGACCACCACCAACTCATTCTAGGCAATGTGCGTGAAGTGTCTTGCCTAAGGACACACAGTTTGGCACTTTACAGCCGCCCCTCTGTGGCACCTGGTGTTCCCAGATGTCTCCCATCACTGTACTAACCAGGCCCTGTCCTGCTTAGTTCAAATACAAGTCAAAAGAGTTACAATATAAAGCCGGTGGAGGTGTGCTTTGAAAGAGAGAAGTCTGGCCGTTTACTTAAAGAGTAGGAAAATGCATGGATGGAAGAAAGTCCGTAGAATGAAGCCCAACAGGCACATGAAAAACAAATATTGATAATCTGTGCCTATTACAGCAGTTTGCACATGCTCTCTCCCTAAGCTACATTTGTAGCCACAGCAGCCCTGCAGCTGGCACCACCAGATCCCCGGCCACCACTCATACCTCACTCACTAAAGCATTTTAAAAACACAGAGGCCAAAAACACAACATGCATGCAAAAACTAGTGATAGAAACAGTTTTGAGAGTGAGGAACGAGTTAAATGGATTCATTAGATAGTTCGATGCTTGTTATTTGAAAGCTTATGATTCTAACTCTGCTGACGAGCACAATGCCTCAGCCCTACAGTACCTTGTAGACGTCGTGGTGGTCCAGGATGCTATCAAAGTTCTTGTAAATGTCGTTCAGCATGTCCACCACCTCCATGGGGGTGCTGTAGTGGCACAGAGTGGTGAAGCCCACGATGTCACTGAAGTAAATGGTGACCTCCTCAAACAGCTCTGGCTCCACAAGGCCCGTCTCCTTCAGGGAACGCACAACAGGCCTGAGAGAACCACACGTCATGGTTTTTAGGATGGAGCGAATGTGCAATAATAGCTTTAATCGTGTCAGAATGTACAATGGTAGATTCACATATGTATACTGTCACTTTACTGAGTCACTTGTCACAGACCCTCAGGCTGCTAACATATACAGATCAGATGTATACATAAAACTAGATATTCCTTGCACTAGAATAAGATAAGATAAGAGTTCCTTTATTCGTCCCACAGTGAGGAAATTTCGATGTTGCAGCGCACAGACAGGACAGTAGTAAGAGCACACAGGGAGCACACACAATATATACAAAATACGTAGTAGCTATGTTTCTTAACTAGCATAACTAGCTGTAGATGCTGGAAATGCTTCAATACCAGTCAAAAAATATATACATGTAGTAGTGCAGAGTTATATACTATACATATAGTGCAGGATAATAAGTAGATAAGTAAAGTGACATTGTTCTGTGACATCCTGAAGTTGCAGTATTACACATTGCACATGATTTAAGAATTTACTTGTTTACAGATGAATAAAATTTACAGGCTCAGCAGTTCTTATTGTACAGTCTGACAGCAGCAGGAAGGAAAGACCTACGGAACCTCTCCTTCACACAGCGAGGGTGAATTAGTCTGTCACTGAAACTGCTCTCCAGAGCAGAGAGTGTCCTACAGGGGGTGACAGTCATGGTCCAGCATAGATGTTAGTTTGCCCAGGACCCTCCTGTCCCCCACCTGCTGCACTGTGTCCAGGGAACAGCCCAGGACTGAGCTGGACTAGAATATACAGTATTTTAGACTTGCTTCTTTATAATGCGAAAGTTAGAGATTTTATACTTACTTCTTTATTATGCTAAAGCTGGACATTGTATACTTCCTTCTTTTTTATGCTGAAGTTAGAGATGTTGTTATTTTATTTAGTATAGAGGTATTGTTAATTTAACCAGTGCTGTGTGCTCCTCATTCCTTCTGCTCTGTAACCGGTGATGCAACACTGACATTTCCCCACTGTGGGACGAATAAAGGATCTCTTAATCTTAAAGCCAAATGAATGGATCTGTCGTTGAGGACTTACGCAGGGAGGAGCATGAAGTTGAGGCGGTCTGCGCGATCTCTCTCGTTCTTGTACAGGACAGTCCTCTGCTCCACCAGGTTTTCCAGGTTGCGAGAGTACATCTGCAACCGCCGGATCAGGTTGTCCATGTAGGTCTCACTGGCCTCGTCGTGGAGGGCGCTGCACACAAGATCATGACACATTTCTTTCTAAGCAGCAACCATTAAAGCAGAATTGAAAACAACAATGACAACACTATGTCTGACGATGTGTGAGTCTGCTCAAGGTGAGGCAAAGCAGCAAAAACAGGTGCTCAAGTCATTTAAAACAAGAATTGACTCCCAGAGCAGTCAATTTGACGGCATTTAAATTTGGAAGTATAATATTAATGTATGTTTTTGGTCTTCAAAACTTTGTGACTTTTTCTGTCTCTCTATCTAGTTTATAGCTATGCAATTTTGTTACATATAGCTAAACTTGAAGCAAGTGCTAATTACCATAGCTACACCCTCTTTACTTGCATCAGTGAGTATTTTGTTTTGCTGTATTTAATCTATATTAACCAGTTTTACCATCTACTAAAGATTAAAAAAACATGTGAAATACTTTATTTTAATAAAAGCAGTGAAAAACTGCTTTTTTCACTGCTTTGGGGGGGATTTTTTCCAGGATTGTATTAATTTGAACTGGCAAAATTACTGCTCCGGGAGTTCTAGTAGTTTCAGTCCTTGTGTCAACATGATTTTGACCGAAGGAACCAACTGAAAGGGGAACTAAAAAATGCTAATATTGAAAAGACTCTTGCGAATGTAAATTTATGTCACTTCATATGCAGGAAAAGTACAGTGACTGGTGGAGTGTAATGTTCCCCATGTGTCTGTCTGTTCCCTCTATTTGCCTCTCTCTTGTGTCGTGAAGGCTTGGTGTTTTGCTGGTGGAAATCTCTGAATAAGATTAAGAGATCCTTTATTCGTGCCACAGTGGGGAAATTTCAGTATTGCATCCCCAGTTACAGAACAGTAGGAATGAGGAGCATACAGTAAAGATAAGGGAACAATACCTTTATACTAAAATAACATTACATTTCTAACTTTAACAGAATCAAGAAGCGAGTATAAAATCTCTAAGATAACAAAGAAGCAAGATTTAAGTAAAACATTTCTGACTTTAGCTTGTGGTTTCATATTGCACATTCTTGGCAGGCACTCTGACTCCATTCCACAATCTAGCTTCGTACATGAGCCCCCAGCTCCAGGACTCACTGCCAGATTGTTCCATCTCTACAGCGGTACAAACCTATCTATGGCGTCTTCTAACTATAGTGTGTGAAAACATATTTTGCCTAGTTATTTATTATTTGTTGTTTTTTTCCCCCAAGTCCAGTGCTCTATAAATAATTGTTCCTTTTTTCCTAAACTGTGTGCAGTGTCTGCTTCTATTTTCCGTAGTCCTAACAGTGGACTATTCATATATTTAGATAAACAAAAAGTGAAACTTGGATAATTAGATTATTGTTGTGAGTCTAATACGACAGATTTATTACATGCCAAGTGAGATTTATCAACCCTTTATGTATGATCAGGTTGATAATCTGCTCACAGCTTGAAAAAAGTCAAATAAAACATATCAGAGGTAAGTCGTCATCCAAATTATGTAATCATATATTGGTATTTCAATTTAAGTTGAATTACAGAAATAAACATGCAATGTTCTGAGTTTCACCTGTTCAGACTGGCACTACCCAGCTCTAGTTAACTATGTGAGATGACTTACCTAAAAATCTTACCAAGAGTAAGCTCTATTCTCTTAAAGTCCGGTCTGCGTTCAGGGTCCTCTTCCCAGCAGTGCTTTATGAGTGTATACAGCTGAAAATACACACATTCTATGACATCATGATTCTTCTGCAGGTTTGATCAGCACTTCTTACCTCTGCTTCTATCTCAGTTGCTCCTTCAAAGCTGAGATCCGGTCTGAAAATCCCTGATAAACTGGGATACTGCACTCTGTAAATTTTATCTGTAAATGCACGAGGAGCACGATCAGCAAACTAGAGTTGATATGTTTATAGTGATTGATATATAATTGATGTTCAAACATGCACCTGATTTATCTGGGCAGGACTGAGAATAGAACGGAGCTTTTCTCATGACGATTTCATGTGCGATGATGGCGTAGCTGTACACGTCGCCCTTTTGAGATATACCACTTTTACGGAGGTGCTCTGGGGCGGTCCACAAATCTAAAGACAACATGGAGTGGTGTCAAGATGTGTTGCTTTTTTCTGAATGAACTTCTCTTCATTAGCAGCCTTAGCTTCCCTTCATTAGCATCAGTAAACGTAGCAACAGGCTCATATAACTATGCTGCTTCGGCCATAATACTGTACAACAAAATTTAATGTTATTAGTTAGTTACTACTTACTTCCTCTATTATTGTTTGTTATTTAGAATTTTTTTTATCATTTATGTACTTATGTGTTTGTTTGGATGTGTTTCTGCTGCTGGACACCTGAATATCTGCTACAGGGATCAATCTATCTATCTATCTATCTAGTCCAGGTATGTCCAAACTAAGGCCCGGGGGTCAATTGCGGCCCTCTGTGTTATGTCATGTGGCCCTCTGACTTGCTAACCCAAGTTCACAGTGTCATCCAACTTCAGCCCCACCATTATGGACATGCTCTACATTATTGTGAAACTCAGAACCTTTGGAACTCAGCTGTTCATTTTGTGATAGTAAGCTAGCTAACATGAAAATATTTGGATTTATCATTCCTCTTTTTAAAGCTCAGAACAGCCTGATCCAGTCAAAGCTGTTAACTGTGTTGTCGGCCCCCAGACAAGTCAGGTCAACTGCAGTGGCCATATTACTAAAAAGTTTGGACTCCCCTGATCTAGGCTCTCACCGCGGCCTGGGTTGAGAATGGTGTGACAGCCAAAGTCGGTGATCTTGACCACCATGCGATTGTCCACCACACAGTTGGTGGACTTAAGGCGGCCGTGAGCTCCTACGCTGCTGGAGTGCAGATAAGACATCCCCTGTGGAGCACATACCAGCTCAGTGACCACAAAGGGCACAGGTACAAGTACAGAGAGTATCGTTTGTCCAAAACCAGCAAATAGTTGAAATGTACCTTTGCGATGTCGTACATGACCGATATCTTGAACTCCATGTCCATGAACGTCTCATCAGGATAAGAGATGGTGTCATTCAGAATGTGCTATGGGGACAAACAGACTTAGGACCCTTCATTAGTTAGTGTGTGTGTGTGTGTGTGTGTGTTAATGTGAGCGTGTGTATTAATATGTGTGTAAATGGATGTGTGTGTGTAGGAGTGGAAATGGATTGTGTGTACGTGTATGTGTGCATGTGGATGGGTGAAATTGTGTGAGTGTGTGTGTGCATGAGTTTGTGTGTGTCTGTGTGTGTGCCTTTGTGACATTGCGTGCCTGCCTACAAATGTGTGTGCATGTGTGTGTGGGTGTGCACGTGTGCGTGTGTTTTTGAGTGTGTGTGTGTGTCTGTGTGTGCGTGGGTGTGCATGTGTTTGGGAGTGTGTTTGTGTGTGTGTGTGTGTGTGTGTGTGTGTGTGTGTAGTAGTCACTGTAATCACGCACACACACACACACACACACACACGAACACTCACACACCACTGTTGCACTAAAACTATCTGTCCCTTATCACACACTGTAAAGTAATTGTGAGAGCCACAAAGAGGACCGACCTATCATCTCACTGTTTACTGTTGTCATGGTTTCCGGAAACAATAAAAGACCAGAACAGTCTAGATCTATTCTGAAAGCGTACAGACAGCGATATTGAATGTGTGTTGTTCCCGTCAGTATATATTGTAAAGGTAATAAATCATGGAGCGTCCTCACCCTGAGAGAGCCTCTCTGGCACAGCTCAAAAACACCAAACACACCGTATTCAAACTGGACCGTGCCGTAGAACTTGGTCAAGTTGTAGTAGTCGATACGCAACAACTGTCATTCAGAAAGAAACAAGTGGTAGAAATCACACTCACTATTTTCATTATAAATGTATTTCCCACTTACCGTGTTGAGCTCAATTTTCTGATCTTCAGTAAAATCTCCATCTGAATGTTTCAACTCTTTCAAAATGACTGGCTACAATTGAAATGAACAGAAAAACAGACAAATAAATACTTAAACAAACATGGCACTGAAAATCCATGTTGGAGAAAAAAAAGCCCACATCACCTTTTTATCATAGCGGCCTCTGTGAACAAGGAATATGCTGTCCTTTCTCTTGTCGTCGTCAATCTGTCACAAAACACATGTTTCTGTGTTCTGAGTCATGTTGAATACACTATCTTTACTATTATTGCTATTACTAGTAGAATTACAATCAAACTACTTATTTAAATACCTTCAGAGAAACCTCCTTCTCATCCAAGGGACCAATCAGATGAGGTTCTATGTGAGACCACTTTTTCTGCATGAGACGCTCCTTTCTGTTTTGCCTTTATTATTGAAAAACACAAACAAAATCCATCCAGTCCATTTCATTTACTTCAGCTTTATCTGTTGCCGGGTCGCAGGGCCGCTGGTTAAGCACAGACGCCCAGATTGTCCTATCTACAGACAGAAGAATCCAGCCACTCGTCCTTTCGATCATTACCCAATACTCATGACAGTAGGTGAGGGAACAAACAAAGATTGAAATAAACCGAAATCCAAGTTACTGTATTTCAGTTGATTCATTATAATTAAAACTAATGTGCAAGTAGTTACTGCTAAAATTACAAGTACATGTAAAGTATGGGTTCATGTAAATATCAAAACAAGGACCATTCTGCTTGGTTTCATAAAGATAGTATTTACCTGTAGAAGATGAGTGCTATGGCTGTCACCACGACAACACTGAGACTCAAGACTATTACGATGATATCCTGATCGCTTATATCTGAAATCACAGGATACAATTATTGCCTAATCATTTGAAAACAAGAAATACATGATTTAAATCGTTGCATTACTGTCCATGCCCTCCGGCTGGTCGTCAGGGAGAACTCCGCCTTTCCAGGGCAGAGCAGGAGATTGGTCCACTTTTTGAGTTTCATTTTTGGAAGTGTCAAACTTGAAAAGGGTTGTATACTAAAAAAAAAAAGACATGATAGTGTCTTTATATAGCACGCGCAAAGCAACTCAAGCAATCCAGATTAATTACGGTTGATTAAAACTGGTTGATACTAGTGTGTTTCCTCACCTCGTGTGTAACAGTGGATCTGTACAGTACAGAAAAGTTTACATCTCTGTCTCCATATTCATCCAGCACATAGTGTCCTGCCATTCCTGGATGCAAAAAACAATAACAGTAAACAATAGAATTCTGTTCTGGACCTGTGTGTGTGTGTGTGTGTCTGTGTGTTCACATATATTTAAAAACCTGAAACCTTATGGGAAATAGCGGACTAGTAAAATCATAACAGAAAAAAAAACAAGAAAAATGCAGGGAAATGTTTGAGGGAAACCAGTTATGATACACTGTATAGAAAGTGTACTGGATTCAGAAGCCCTCGACCTTCTACTTTAGCGCCTTTAGGACAATGAAATGTGAAAATCCATAAAATATGGATAACATACATGCTTATACATACTTATTGTTTTACAACGTATATGGCCTGTCGAACGGCCTCAACCCTGACAACTTGGACAACTGCCGACACATCTCCAATTTCCCGTTACTGTCAAAAATTGCGCCATCATCACCCAACTCCACCCACATCTCTACTCCCATCTCTTAGAAACATTTCAGTCTGGATTTTGTTCCCACCACAGAACAGAAAAAGCACCTCCCATCCTCCACCACCGTCTACAATCCATTGGCATTTCCGGTACATTTCCGGCACTCCTCTGGTTCACCTCCTACCTCTCCGATAGTCTCCACATCGTCTCTGTCAACAACTGCAACTCCCATACTTCCTCCGTCACCCACGGTGTCCCCCAAGGTTCCGTGCTCGGCCCTCTCCTCTTTATCTGCATGCTTCCCCTCGGCTAGATCATCCACCACCATGGACTCTACATTCACTGTTATGCCTACGACACTCCACTCTACATCTCCTCCAAGCCATCACCCCGGTCATCTTCCCCACGATCACTAATTGTATCTCCGACATTAAAACCTGGATGGACAATAACCTTCTTAAACTCAACAGCAACAAAACAGAACTCCTCATCATCAGCCCCAAATCTCTCCTGCCCTCTGTCCAGAACTTTACCCTCCTCATTGACGGTCACAATGTCACCCCCTCACCCTCTGTACGCAACCTCGGCATCATAATGGACTCCACCCTCTCATACCAAACACACATCAAACACATCACCAAAACATTCTTCTCCCACCTCCGCAACATTGCCCGCCTCCGCCCCTCCCTTACCCCGTCAACAGCCAAAATCCTCATCCACGCATTCAGAAGTCCGTTGAAGTCCGTAGTCTCCTGTATATGGACTTCCCACCACTCATCTCCAAAAACTGCAATACATCCAGAACTCTGCAGCCCGCCTCCTCACCCACACCCGGACCGGGTGTGGGTGGGGAACACATCACCCCCGTCCTCCAGCAGCTCCACTGGCTCCCCGTTCAATATCACATCCAATACAAGCTCCTTCTCCTCACCTACAAGTCCCTCCATAAATTTGGTCCAGTCCCTCCATAACCTGGCCCCTCCCTTCCATACCTCCTCCTCCTACAACAATACCAACCCACCCGCCGCCTTCGCTCACCGGATTTCAACCTTCTCACTCCCATCACCTGCACTAACCGCCGGACCTTGGGGGACAGAGCCTTTGCCATTGCCGCCCCAACCCTCTGGAACTCACTCCCACTGCCCATTAGAAACTCAGACTCATTACCAAACTTTAAAGCCGTACTAAAAACCCATCTTTTCAAACAAACTTTTCCGTAAACTCCCTTTTTATTTTCATTGTATTTTATTCCCCATGTGAAGCATGTGTCCAAAAAAAGCACTATACAAGTTTGATGTATTATTATTATTATTATTATTATTGTTATTATTATTATTATTATATAAATATCTATCATCTAAATGACATAAAGTTACTTGGGCCAAAAATTAACTTTGTTTAACTTAAAGGAAAATAGATAAGATTAAGATAAAGATAAGATTGATCTCACAGTGGAGAAATTGAATCGTGAAGTGAAAAATGAATCAAATATCTTAGCTATTTTATGTGCAATTAACAAAGTGACCCATAGCAGTGCTAAGTTTACAGTCCTCATAGTGCAGGTTGTTATAGTATGTAAATATTCCACCGCAAAAGTAACATCCAACCAACATAACACTGAATCCTATGTTTATAGGCAAAGGGCTCTGCTTGTGAAAGATACTGTAAAACTTAGAAACAATAAAAAGAGATCACGGACAGTTCTTATATGATGACCAAAACCTTTATGTGACCTTTGTGTTTCCTTCTAAACCCTGGACAAGCCCCTTCCATTCCTGTCAATACCTTTGTGTCAAACATTTGCTCCATATCTTTAGTGTGAGTGCAGGTTATCAGTACCCTTAAAGGAGATGTTTCCAAAGGGGTGGGCGCTCGGAGACGTGTACCCTCCCTGCTGATTGAGCATCCTGGCACGTAGCACCTTCCCAAACAAGAGTGTGCCGTCATGGTAACCGGCTACATAGTCATTGACCTGCAAGACAGCATAGCAACTTTCATTTATTAGATTTAAGTTTGGAGAATATCAAAAGGGTCACGTGCTTTTAAACAGACTGTAGAATATGAAAAGCAGTAGTATACAGGGTTAAAGCAGGTTTAAGTGGGTCCAAAGTTAGCCAATGTCATGTTAAACCAGGACTTTAAAAGGAGTCTTATCGCCATAAAACCAGGACAAAATCATCATCATCAGTTCCCATAGTTCCCATAGCCGCACACTGTTTACTTGCTAGCAGTTAGAATTTGGTAGCTTTTTTGCTGTATTGTTATATTCACCTGTTTTAGCACTTTGTAAAAAATACTGTAAGTAAGGGTAAAAAACAACTAAGTGAGTAAGTAAGCTTTATTTATATACCGCCTTTCAAAGAACCGGAGTCACAACGCGGTTTTCAATTGTGGGCATTTGTCTCCCACTCCACACAGAGATGGAAGCGGGGTCACAGTACAGGAGACGCATGCCAGACCTATTGTACATGTTTTTTAGTGGTAGGGGTCGGGGAGACTGGAGCACCCGGAGGAAAGCTACGCAGACACAGGGAGAACATACAAACTCCACCCAGAAAGGCCCTGTTCCGAGCGTGATTCGAACCCACTGGACCCCCTCGAAAAAGAGATGATGCATCTCAAGGGGCCATCCACAATAATAAATAAAATAAATAAACCCAGGACATTCTTGCTGAGAAGCGAGAGTGCTATCCACTCAACCACCATGCCGTCAACTAACTTACTTCTAAAACAAAAAGCCTATACTTGTAAATACTGAATTTAAATCAAACTAAACATTTCTGAGAGTTCCATTGATTTGAATGGGAGCCGTCAATAGTGATAATGGTCTTAGTGTTTTATTTTGTTTCAGCTTTGGTGCGAGGACATGGAGAGACTTGTACACAAGCAGAGCTGCTTTAAAGTCTATTCTCTGAGCCACAGGAAGCCAGTGCAGAGACCTTAGAACTGGACTAATGTGATCGTACTTCCTGGTTCTAGTCAGGACTCAAGCTGCAGCGAGAATGGGGTTCATTGAACAAATGTGTCTCGGACTCTGAAACAAATGCTATTTATGGCTTGGTTTAATTTGGCCATATATGTTAATGGAACTATTTAGTACTCCATAGCATTATAACTTTATTGTTCACAAAGCCAGGACCAGCAGCAGCAGGACCTGGTGTTGTGTGGAGTCTTACCGTGTTGCTGGTCAGGTTTCCATAGGTGTAGTTCCTCTGGGGAAGAGTGACCACCAAGACTTTCTCCATGTCGTGACTGGCTGTTCTGTTGTCATGATAATCAGGACTGAGGGGAAAAAACAATACAATGTTTAATCTCCTTTGATACAAAACTTCAAAAACCATATAACTGCAGTCTACTCACTTGTAGAGGTCGATGAGGATAAACAGTATGTCTGGGTGGATGCCACGAGAGGTTTGTTTAATGTGAGCCATGTGCTCCGGCCCCCCGCAGAGGATGATAACTGAACACATTGATAACACTCAATCAATCACTTTGTTCAGACAGACTGTGCTTACACTGTGGCACCCAATCCAAGCTAGTGATGCCTGTTTACATTTATTAGCGGACAGCGGTAGACTTCCCCCTTTGTCAGAAGATACCTTTCACATTCACATTTTGGCCATAACTTGCAAACTTCATATTCTGAAGTTTTGAATACTGGTTCAATCAAAATAAGGTTGAAATTGTGTGCTCTACAGTGAATAATGTGTTGTCCAGGGTGAATCCCTGGTGTGACATTATCATTTTATAAACAGGGAGTGCCATGATAAAAGTAAAAAAATTGCCAAACTGAATATATTGCCTGGGTACTATTATTACTAGTGGTTAAGTTTTTTATACACACTTGAAAAATCTGTGTTATAAAATGGTTCTAGAAAACATAAATAAAAGGAAACAAGGCCTCTATCCTTGTCCTGCAGCCTGAGTCCTGGAACTATCGCCCGTCCGTCGGTGGGATCGAATGCCTCTCTCAATGTGAGGCTCCCCGAGTTTTCTCACATTCTAACACTGGGTTTTTCAAAATGTGTTTTTCCTTGCTGATGCAGGAGGGTCTACCAGAGGGAGGATCCAGGACACTCAACATTCAACAAAATTTTGAGGACATTTTTCAACATTTATGGACCAATGGCTCTATGTGTTTTTGTCATTGCATATCTTGAGTTTGAACTCTTTGATTCTCTGATTTTGAATTGAATTTGACAGTCCTCCGAGATAGCTGCTGTTGTAATTTAATTTAATTTAATTGAAAAAAAAGCCAGGATTAATTCAGTACTCAATCAAAAAAAGTACACGGTACCCGCCCCCCTTCCCAAGTCAAATCATACAACCAATAACAATAAATGTATTTCTTCATAGACTGGATTAGATGTTAGGACTTACTATTACTGTGTCTTTTATCATCATCGAGTATTTTGAGCAGCTCTTTCTCATTACGCAGCATTTCCCGTTTGATGTTGGAGGCAAAACTGAGAGACGGTGCCTCCAGTGCATTGATATACCTGAAAAATCACATTAATATAAATGTAAAACAGTGAGTCATGTGGGGGGGACACTACTTGCTGCCTATTGTGCGTTCTGACCAGAAGCAGTCCTCCGTCACGTTTGCAGTGGCAGAGTTTTTGTAGACGTAGACCCGGCTCCATCTCTCTTTGATCGGTGACACGCTCTCGTTGATAAAGTTGAGCATCATGTCGGATATCTTGCGGGCGGGAGGGAGAAGCCGCGTCAGTTTGGGCTTGTAGTTGCAGGAGATACCAAAGCTTCCAGCAGAGATGATTGGAATACTGAGACTGAGGCCAATCTCTTCACTAACGGGACACGAAAGGATGAATAAGATTAGAAAATGTGTAATGTATGAAATGACAACCAAAACAAAAAGAACGCATACTTACTCTACCAGCTGGAAAGTGGCGTAGGTGCAGGACGGCCCAAGCATCACGCATCCAATTTCAAGATCGGCCTGCATTAAGAAAAATATGTATTCATTTATTCGCTCTGAAAATGACTAATTATTATAAAGTTGTCATTATTTTATGCTAAAAAACTACGTTTTATGTTTCATAGGGTGGGATTCTACACGTTTTTTCTTCTTCCTCACTCTATTTCAGGATGACAGTTTGTAAATGGAAATGCATTCGTAAACACGTATTGAAATTGTAGATGTTTATTGTTTAACACATGATAAAACTAGGGCAATGGGTGTTGCTTCATTATATATTTATGTTTATACAGTATATTTGCATGTGAGGGGCGATTTGAGCCCACCACAAGACCTACTTCACGACTCCCACTGATATCTGCTATTGTTGTGTCCTTGGACAAGACACTTAATCCCACTTTGCCATAAGCCCCCGCTGAAAAATCAAGCCTATGCTCTCACTGACAGAGCAACTATCCTCCTGTGGACTCACCACCTGCAGGAGGATCAGAGAGGGGCTGGTGCTCTGTGGACTGGGTGCAACTCTGATTGTGACCCCCGATTCAGAAGTAAATTAAGGGGTAGAAAATGGATGGATGGATTCTTCTCGAATTAATGAAAAAAATCAGATCTCTAGTCAAATCTCATAAATTGTGGACAGTGACAGGACATTACACTACACATGACAATTACAGCTGGACTGTTATAAGCGCACCTGTAAAGCGCACCAGCTAAAAGTTGAATAAAAGTACATTTTTTTCACATATAGGCCGCTGTTTTGCTGAATTTCAGTGGTATTCCCCAGTTTTAGCATGTATAAAGATAAAAAAAAGCATGAATCGCTTAATTTTAATAAAATTAGTAAAAAACGTTGGGGAGTTTTCAGAATTCCATTGATTTCAATAGGAGCTGTCAAAATGACTGCTCAGGGAGTTGACCTGTGAAGCACGTTGGTTTAAGCCAGTCTCTTTTTACATTGTATCACATTGAAGCTAAAACTCTGATTCAAAATAATACATCCAAAATATCAATAAGACAAAAGCCTTCTCCATCTCATTGTCCAGCAAGTACTGTACATCAGGGGCAGAAAGAGATGGAAAAATGTTTCACAACCTGGAAGAATGTGATTGATGGTCAAAAACAACCTATTAAAGCTGGGGTACCTTTAATTTGAAACTTTAAAAATGGAGGAATGTCATAAAAGCCTAATGCCTGATTCGTAAACAGTTTGTACGTGCATTTATTTTCTATCCTCTGTCACATGAGTAGACATGACAGAAAAGTGAAAAAGAGTGGATCACCCTCACTCAGCCAATCAGCTCTCAGCCCAATCTCAGCGCCACAAAATTAAGACTACATGTGGTCGGATTTATTCACAAAATTACTTTTACCAGATTCAAACTGTTGAGGAAAACATAATGCATTAGGAGGGGGAAAGTGGGGTACCTCAGCTTTAACTACAGTATGTGTTTAAACATTTGTATTTTACCTTTAGCTTCTTGAGGATGGAGACCCCTTCACAAGTGCTGCTGCCACACCCCTGTCTGTTGTATCCGGTGGTGTTGAAACCATTGTAGTTGGCCGTCAACTTAAAAGAAAGATCTGGAGTGAAAAGAAATACACATTTATTTCGGTATTAGAGCAACACTGAAATCCCACACAGAAATCTGACTTTCACTGCACACATCACATTACTTGGCACCAAAAGGCAATTCAACTTTATTCCCAGGCACTATTCTTTATAGAGCTCTTGCCAAATAAATCCAATCTATGTAAAAGTCTTTATCCACATTGAAAACAAACCAATATTCTGACAAAACCAGTAAAAAAGACCCCAAGGTGAATAAGATCTGATGTAGCATGTGAGTAGGAACAGATCCCCTTTTTCTACACGATTGATTGAAACGGTACAAATGTGTATGTATGAATTTGAAAAATATGTTTTACTCTAAACATGTTTCTCCCCAAGTCTCTATCAAGAACAGACATATTTTGAAAGAAAAAAGAAAAATTACATTTGGATCCATGATTGAAAAATAGAAAACTGTCTGTATAGCAATGTGTGTGTAAAAAAATGTAAATAAAAAAAGAAAAGAAAGAGACTAAATATTAAAACAAAGTGGCTGGGACAAACAAGCTCAGACATGTCACAACCATGCACACTAGCATAATAATCTTGCTTTCATACTTTGCTTCTCATTCTCAAGCCGGTCTATTTCAATGGCCTGCTCCACTGCAGCTTGGACAAACGGTCGGCTCCACTCGTACGTGTTGTCCTCCAGTAGCACCACATTAATCCTGTAGACGAACTTCTGTGAGAGGCAGGAGTCCAGCATGAGGTTTGCGGACCCTCCAAGGGCCAGCATCCACAGGCAAAATAATAAACTCTGAGAAACCGACATCTTCATCTGAGTTTTCCCAACAAAAACCATTGTGCTGTCACATTTCAACTCAGTGGAACACAGCAAAACCACACGGATCACATCTCTTGTCGTTAGAATAAAAAAAGAAATCAGTAATTTGCGTTGCCTTGCTTCCCACCACTACCTAGTCCAACTGCTTTGACAGATTTGCAGTGATCTGTCTTGGTATGAGCTGATACACCTGCCCAATGTTAATGAACAACCACAATGACAGCTGGTGCCGCGGTGGAAAAAGGACGCCACAAGATTCCCACAAAGCAAAATGTATAAAACCGTCACAATCGACCGATGAAACGAACAAGAGAAAGAGAACGGAGCCGAATTTGTGAGAACCTATTGTTGCGAAATTGAGAAAGTTGTGTAAGAGATGCAGTATTTTCAGACAAGGCATGGAAAAGTAAAGAGGAGCCAAAGGTCAATAGAGGCCATAAAACTAAGTGTTGGTGCAGATAAATGTTGCTCTATAATCGCAGGTTGGATACAAAATATATCAAAAAACACTCTTTTGAACACAGAATGGTTTGTCCAGGACTCAGCGACCGTCTCAGCAGTCAGTGAAGCCATTTGCGGACCATTACTACCATTACTCCAATAATATTATACTAAACAAACTAAAAAATATGTTTCAGATTACATGTATTTGTGGACATGACAAAACACAACAAATATCAAAAAAAAAGAGAAAAGGATGAAGAAAGAAACAAAAATAAAATTGTTGTGTTGCCTGCCCATATTTTCTCCATGTTATTTCACAGCCTTTCTTTGGTCTTTCTGTGATATTTTTCTTAAACAGTTTTACTATGGTTGTTGATTATCCTATGTGTTTTTGGATGTGTTCTGGCAAAGGGGACAGGTGGAGCTTCCTTCTGCTGTCCTGGTTGGTTTTGACATTTGAGAAACGTTTGTTGTTAAGTTGACATCTCTTCTCTGCTCTCATGTCCAATCCTATGCCGTGGCTCACTTATATTGCCGTCCATAAAACCTTACTCAATTCAAACAACTGTTTTATCGACCCACAATGGAAGCGTCACTGTCCTTCTCACATTGCAGATCCGACTGATAAGAGGCGGATTTACCAGCAAAGGCAATTTAACAGCAAAGCAAGTACAGAAGATTCAGATTCAGCCTACTTTATTTATCCCACCAGAGGCAATTCGTTTGAGCAGCACAGGGCATAAACACACAGAAAACACAGACAAATATACAACAGTCAAACAGTATAGAAAGCTCTACAAATACGACAACAGAAATCACAGACAACACACACTTTTATAAACAGGAGGTAGTCAGAGTAAAGGCAATAAACTCATAGTCAAACATATTTTATTAGAATGACGTTGTAATAGCTTGGTTGTTCTGCTATTAGAACAATTACGGCTTATGAGAAGTGGTTTCCTACCCGCGATTGTTGAGGAAATGGTTTGTTTGTTCAAAGGAAGGGCATTTTTTTATTGTGACACTTTCTCTGTTTAATGGCTCCTAATGGTGTTGTGTTTGGACAGAGACACACTGTGTGTAGTGCAGACAGTGTGGTGTCAACATGTGTTATATCAGTATTGTCATTTAACAGACCCAACATTGAAATTATTGAATCTTGACTAAAATGTATTAAAATACCTTGTGCAGGTCTTGAATCTTTTAGAAATAAAGTTTTGATACCATTTTATATTGGAAAGGAATTACTAAAGGTTTCAAAATCTATTAGATTTGTTTTTGTCCGATCACCTCAAATCGCCTTAGAAACAAGAAAAAACTTGCATTTCCAACTCGGGGACATCATGGGGGGTATCCGTCTCTATACACTATCCTGGCCTTAGCCATCCGTAAACTCTGGTCAATTATCATTTAATGAAATTAATTAATGATGGTATGGTAAGACCAGGCTAACTGAACACGCTTGTTTACAATTTGGTCAAATTTTTGCTAAATCTGTGGATATTCAAGATGACACAATACTGTCCTGAGCAGCTGCAAGGTCTGCAAGTTAAGCCGGAGCTGACGTGTGACTGTAGTGTTTCCACTCACACTATATGTGCTCACAAAAGTGATTTACAAACACACGCTCAGGGCCAGGTCCCAAGCAACATTGGGAGAAAGGCTGAGGTCATGATGTCGTTCAGTGATGGGGCGGCACGGTGGCTGAGTGGATAGCACTCTCGCCTCTCAGCAAGAAGGTCCTGGGTTCGAATCCCGGCCGGACCAGGGCCTTTTTGAGTGGAGTTTGCATGTTCTCCCCGTGTCTGCGTAGGTTTCCTCTGGGTACTCCGGTTTTCCCTACCACTAAAAATATGTACAATAGGTCTGGCATGCGCCTCCTGTTCGGCGACCCCGCTCCCATCTCTGTGTGGAGTGAGAGGACAAATGCCCAAAAAAAATAACAATTGTAAACCGCTTTGTGACTCTTGTCTGTGAAAGGCGGTATATAAATAAAGATTACTTACTTACAGTGATCATGTTTTGAATGATGAGTTCACTTTGCTTCCATCAGGAAGACGTTATGTTCCAACATATTGTAAAACCAATCTTCACTTAAAATCCAACCGCTATTAGACGGCTAAACTCTCTGTAGCTTGGAGATATGAGGCAAGTAAGAACTGACTTTTTCAACATGTGCAACCATCGGTTAATACATTATATACTATAGTCTATATGCTTTCCTTCTTTCTTGTCTCTGCAGATCTTCTCCGTTCTCTCAGATTCGATAAAGCCCAATGCTTGTTCAGGCTGCTTCAGAGATGTGCTCTGGCTGTGCTCTGGCTGTTCTCTGGCTGTTCTCTGGCTGTTCTCTGGCTGTGCTCTGGCTGTTCTCTGGCTGTTCTCTGGCTGTTCTCTGGCTGTTCTCTGGCTGTGCTCTGGCTGTTCTCTGGCTGTGCTCTGGCTGTTCTCTGGCTGTTCTCTGGCTGTTCTCTGGCTGTTCTCTGGCTGTGCTCTGGCTGTTCTCTGGCTGTGCTCTGGCTGTTCTCTGGCTGTGCTCTGACTGTTCTCTGGCTGTGCTCTGGCTGTGCTCTGGCTATGCTCTGGCTGTGCTCTGACTGTTCTCTGGCTGTTCTCTGGCTGTTCTCTGGCTGTTCTCTGGCTGTGCTCTGACTGTTCTCTGGCTGTGCTCTGGCTGTGCTCTGGCTGTGCTCTGGCTGTGCTCTGGCTGTGCTCTGGCTGTGCTCTGTCTGTGCTCTGGCTGTGCTCTGGCTGTGCTCTGGCTGTGCTCTGGCTGTTCTCTGGCTGTGCTCTGGCTGTTCTCTGGCTGTGCTCTGGCTGTGCTCTGGCTGTTCTCTGGCTGTGCTCTGGCTGTTCTCTGGCTGTTCTCTGGCTGTGCTCTGGCTGTGCTCTGACTGTTCTCTGGCTGTGCTCTCGCTGTGCTCTGGCTGGGCCTGTAAAGACTTGTCCTGAGACAACTGTCTCCTGGTCGTTATCCTGTTGGAACTACACCCCAGTCTGAGGTCTGGAGCTCCTGATGTCTCTGTTCATTGCTACATTCATCTTTCCATGTATCTGTGTTCCATGTTACTGGTCCCTTGGTCCTTGCCGCTGACAAACATCCCCACAGCATGATACTACCACCGACCTGCTTCACTGATGTGGTGCTTTTCCTTCAGGCCAAACTGTAAAAAAAATTATCAGACGAGCATGTTGTTGGTCATGTGCATCTGCCCTGATGATTGTCCTTCTGGAAGCTTCATCGGAGTGACCACCAGGTTCTTGGTCATCTCCCTGACCAAGGCCTGTCCCTTTGGACGGACTGCCAGCTCTGGGACACTGGGAATCCATTTCCAAACAACGAAGGCCGCTGAGATATTCGCTACGTTCAAGGCTGCTCCAGTTTTTGTATCCTTCTCCAGATCATTTCCTCAGACCTCATGGTCTGCTTTCTGCACTGACATTCACTGACAGCTGTGGGAGATTTCCAAATGAAGTGAAACCAGTAAAAGCACAGCTGTGCTCCAGTCGAGCTGCAGAAACATCTCAACAACAATCAGTGGAAACGTGTATCTGAGCACAGGGTGAGTGTTATAACCAAGAGTGTAAATATTTTTGTAAATGTGATATGTGTTTTATTTGTATTAAATATATCAAAGAATAAAAATAAGCTTTGACTTTGCTGTTGTGGGGTTTTCTGTGTCGTACTTTCTGTTTTCTGTCACATTTAACTGCCGAGAAAATAGGAGCTTTGAAACATTTCACCGAGGAACCTGTTTCCACAGTTAGATAACAATGTTTATGTCTGGATTTTTGAGGTAGACAAATTCTTGTCCTATCATTTGGAAAAGTCAATAGTGACGGTGAAAGGATTTAGGTCACTGAGCGATAAGAATCCTCGTTAATATTTTCAGTAGCTAATCATTAGTGTCTTTACGATTAGTCACTGCCCTCTGCCACCTTTAGTTTATCTTGTAATAAGTCTGGACCACCTCCAGATATTGTGCAATCTGACCTATAAATAAGCCTTGGTGCTTAATCAAGACTAAATACTAAAAACCCGTAATTTGTTGCTTTTAGAACGACCTACCATACATTTAAACCTACACAGTCAGACAGGAGACGATGAGATCACTAAAGTGGGGGAGTGGAGGACTTTTCTGATGGAGGTCCAATCGGCCACCTGCTTGGAATTATCAGCATACAAATATTTATCTGGACTGCCCGTGTGATATTGGTTTATATGATGTTAAGATCTGACTTAATACTTTACTTATTTGGCCGAGTAGAGTGTCACCAACTCCTGTCCATGCATTGTGTTGGATGAGTGTAATGCTGTACTGAAATATTGTAGCATCTCCAAGGAACATAGGTATTTAACAAAAAATATTGGTCCATATTATTTCCTGGTCTGCTTCAAAATCAGTCTCTCCCATTAACCCACTCTCTCAAGAACCAAGAGGAAGTTGCACATCTCGTTGTCAAAGTTTTCCTTTTTAGATTTCAGGCTATGGAAAGATATAGGGTATTTTAGGTTATGTATAAACCGATGTTCAGGCACGTTGAAAAAGTCCACCTGATGAACTGTCAGTATGGAGTTTTCTTGTTGCCCCCATCAAGACTTGTAGGTCAGTGTAGAATGTTTTTGTCTATAACGTCATAGAAGCGTCAGATTTTATTGACGCCCTGAATATTATTTATAGGTCTGAATCCAAAAACACTGGTGGACGTCACTTGCGTTCTCTCTTCTGCCATCTGGAGGAATCCTTTCAAATATACACACAAATATGTACACACGCACACACACACACACACACACACACACACACACACACACACACACACACACACATGTTTGTCTATATCACATGGTAGGGACACAAGACAAGGACATGCATGGTGGGAACCACCCTTTCTGAAGGTTCTACAGCACTGAAAAAAATCAGGGAACATATTGGGGCAGCCAAGAAAACAGCTGTCACTTCCAATAATCAATCTGACAAAGTAAGAGTCCTGACCTGACAAGGTGCAGCTTCCTGGGGACTCGTCAGGTTTTTAGGCATAGATGGGGTCACCAATAGCACAGTGTCAGATTTTTGTGCCTTCCTTGGTACCACTTCACACACACTCAGGGTTAACTTACTCGGTAGGGACTTCAAACACCAGTTAATTGGAAACAGTTGGTAACGGCTGTCATTTGTCAGAAAATATTACAAAATGACACAAATAGGATATATTTCACTTAAATAATTTACTTTACACAATAGGCCTTCTGTTGTATTAAAAATTAACTATGCAATGAGGGTGGTTTTATGTTAGCAGCTACTAAATAGCATATGTAAGCACTGGTTTATATACTATTCCTTCTGAAGTGCAATTATTTTTTACTTTATTAGTTGTGTGCATATATCTGCACTTAGTGCACTTTCATATAGTAAACTTAGGACATTTATGTAGATTTTTGTTAATGCATGCCTTTTATTTTATTCAGATTTAACTTGTTTGCAATGAGAGCCACTATCCTGCAAAATGTGTGACGATGTCACCAAAATCTCCCCACTGTGGGACAAATAAAGGATCTCTTATCTTAAAACTCAGCATAGGCAAAGCAACGAGGCCAAAATGTTTTAATAGTTAGACTCAAAAAATGGCCATCAAATCAGACAACATAATACACATGTCAATCTTAAGAAATTCTGACACAAAATACAATTGTATTTGAACAAACTTTTCCTAACCAGTAGACCGCATGAACAGCAGAGCTTACTGTAAGCAAAATATCTATAACTTTCTTTTCAGAGCTGTAATGCGATTTTTCACATAAAACTTGATGCTTAGCCAATCTCTCTTTTTGAGAGCATTTCTTTCCATATCTAGACATTTATCACATTCACTTTTCCGTGGAACTCTGCAGGTTGTGATGAAGGACATCATGTGCCTTTCCACAGCAGCTATTTCCTCCTCGTCCCACTTTTTCTTACCAGGTTGTTTTCCTACAGATCAACAAACAGTAGTTTGGGTTTAACAGTTTTGAGCAACAAACTTCATTGACAAACTTCCAAGATTCATCAGTTTTACCCTTTAACCCTTTCATCTTATTTTGTGTATCTGTAGTCTGCGTAGTTGTCACAGTGTCCTCCTCTGGTGTAGTGCGTGCAGTCTCATTCATTCTTGTGCCTGGATGCCCTGGAGGGAAAAGGGGCGGATTACAGGTAAGGCTGGGCCGTAAATTGAAAGATTGTACATTTAGGCCACAATTAAGTAATAATCACATAGATGTTTTGTGCATTTGTATAAGAAAATTGAATAAACCTTGAAAATGTACCTTTTGCCTCTTTCAGCATTTTTTGTTGTTTGTGTGTATCCGCAATCTGCGTAGTTGTCACAGTGTCATCCTCAGTACTGTACTGTACAGTCTCCTTCACTCTTGTGCCTGGATGCTCTAAGGGGGTAAAGAGGGGGATTACCGTTAGGGCGGTGACAAATATAAAGATCATGATTCTGGGAGAGCTTTATTAGTTCATTTTGACCCAAATAAATGTTCTCAGTCCAAACTTCAAAAAGGTTTTCAATTAGCCAATGTTATATTTTTTTCTGGCTGGTGCTATGAGACTTGGGTGGCATCTCTGACTGTCACCCCCCTGACCCAGAAATGGATTAAAGGGTAGAAAATGGATGGATGGATGGATGTTATATTTTATATTCAAATGATTGGTGCCTTATTTATTCTTTATGATGTTGAACCAAGATTTAAAATCTAAGTGGGGGGATGGGGGCTTACCTTCCGCGTCCGACTCATGGTCTGTCACATGATCACATGAACCCCCAGGTTCTCCATCTTGGTCACTGTCAAAGTGCACATCCTCTGTGGAGAAAATGAAAGGAAGTGTATGATGGCTCATTTATATTAGAAAAAGCATACAAAAAATATGAATTTGAAAATAAAAGTATATGAATTTGAATGTTTTAATGTGTTGAGTGGCAATTTGCAAATATGAATACCACAATAACCATTTACCTTCTGGATCAATGTTAATGTCATCCAGCGACTTCCCCTTGAATGACGCTAAACGTCCCTGCTCCAGAGCCATGAGAAGTTTGCTGATCTTGGCAAGTTGGAGTGTTCCCTCAGGAAGTCTGTAGAACTGTCTATGTACTCTAATATCATGTCCCAAAAAATCCGCTAGTTGATCCAACTCAGTATTAGTGAGATTAAGGACTTGGGACAGAGTTCCAGTCTGTTTGCGCAGCTTCGTTGAAGTGAGACTTTCTGGGCTTTTAGCGCCACAAACATTTGCAAATTTCCGAAGACAATCAGAGCCTCGGTAACACATCAAACTAGAGGGTCTTGCAAATAGGTATGTGTTCTCTGGAAGAACTCCACATTCCTGTCTTTTGCCGATGAGCAGATCCAATGTTTGTTGCATTGTCGGAGTCAAAAGAACAGGTACCTTTCTTCCCCGTTTGCCTCTAATTTCCAGTCTTCGGAAGTGCTGACAGAGTCTTTTCTCTAAATCTGAAAGCGCAACAGTCACGTCTTCCTGTGGCTCTGACACATTAGGAGATGAATAGGCTGATAGAGACATTTTGGATACTTCTCCAGCCCTGCGTCTGTTAAACAAAATGACTTGGGTCAAAATGATCTTTGTCAGCTGCGTATACGTCTGGCTAGCGGTATCTGAGCTCAACTTTTGGAAAAGGTCTTGTTGCTCAGCATCCAAAAATGTATGTAGTGTCTGGACATCTTTCGTGAATGGTAGTAACTGTGGAGTGTTCCACTTGGACTCCTGAAGCGTTCTGAGAGACGCAGATGATATTAGCTCATTCCACCTAGATTCATAAACACTGCGGAATCTTCGAGCGTCATTTGCTGCACTTTCATCGCCTTGCACATTGGCACGGCTTTCAACAAGCAGGGACACTTTTTTTAAGCTGTATCCTATTTTTAAGGCTAGACTCGGGCAGCTGTAAGTACACTTCTCTGAATCGTACCCAGCAATCACTTGTACAGCTTGGACAAGATGCAAAAAATTTGCAGGTTTAATATGCTCTGCAATTGTCGTCAACTGAGTGTTTTTCCTTGAACACAGCAGCAGTCTTCCAAGCTCTCTCAGTTTCTGACGGATGTACTCGTGTTTGTTGTGATCATGCCCAAGCCTATTGTAGAGATGCTCACCATATTCTATTATGCAGGAATCAGACTTGACTGCACGGTACACATCATCATGCACCATGTTGTTGAGTAGCTTCCACAACTGATGCTTTATTCCAGGAGGGGGAGGTGTTGCAAAGCCACAGAGGGCCTGGACACGTGTTCTGCCGGGTTTCAATGGAATGCACGGTTTGAACTTGCACAGCTTCATGTGCCTCCAAAGGACTTTCCTCAGAAAAAGGCCCTGACAATATGAACAGTGCAGAAAGTTTTCAGCTTTAGCATCATCTTTGGGCTGCTTCCGTGGCACAAGTGTTCCAACGCCTGAATTCAAAACCTCAACATTGTGTGCAAAATTGCCCTTGTTTCTTAGATGTTCCATCTGCATTCGTCTTTCTTTTGAGTTTTTTGGGAAGGACACAGCCCGAGCTACTTCTAACTCGCTTTGATGGGCCCTTTCCAAATGCCTTGCCATCTTTATAACTCCCTCCTTACAGTATAAACAGTATTGCTTTTTGTTGTAATTTCTGGAGCCATTGTCTTTTTTACAAATAGCAGGTATGAAGAGTGAGTCACTTGAGGTATGTGTTTGCTCAGAATCTGCATTTTCCAAAATTGCTTCAGTGACTTGTCCTTGTGTTTTTTTTCCAGGATTGACATTGCTCGTTTGTGTTGAATTAAGACGTCTTCTACGACTCCTGCTTTGTTTTCTCACAGGCGATCTCCCTCTCTCACTTGTTGGGTTTAGAAAAGTAGTGTCCAGTCCTTGCAGTGATCGTGACCGTTTTCCCATATCCGGAAATCTAAGCTTGTTTACTTTATCAGTCATGCTGATCTCACTTGAGTCTGTATCTTCTGACGAGTCTTGTCCACTCTTTGGTATATACTCCTCTCCACTGTCATCTGAGGTGGGATCAAATAGCTCATCCGAATCAAAATCAAGGCGCCCTCTCATCTTTAAAATAAAAAAAGCAGAAAATTAAAAAGTATTACGGAGATTCATTATTTTTCTAGACGTTTTGCAGTGCATACCTCTATGCTTTTTGTTCTCCTTAACCTAGGACAAGACTGGTCAGCAGCGGTCAGGTGACAATCAGAGGATGGACTCCATGTCTGTGGTTCAAAAAAGGTTAGGTTACTTTAGCACCAAGATGAGATAAAAATGTATAAAATCCTTGAAAAAGATGAGCACAAATTTAAACAATGAAACACAGATTGCGCACACACCCACACACACACACACACACACGTCACACACACACACAGTTCACAACACACACATATATACATGCATACATACTATACATATATACAATTAAACTGAAGTTAAGTAATTGCCCAACTGCGCAGCTCCCGTGTCATCGCGCGTCACGGCCGCAGACGCCAAGGCGCAGCGCTGTGGTTGGCTGCTGGGGAGGTGTTTCAAAAGGATCTCAGAGCACGTTCCACACGCACTGTTTATCCTGAGTTAGAGCGGTGCAAAGATCGAGTCCAAACCAGCTGAAAAACTACCACCAGAACCAGACACAGCGTGGGACTGCGTCTTGGATGATTGCGTCTGCAGTATAGCGTCGTGGGTGCAGCGCAGAGTATGGTGAGCGCACGTTTGAGGACGAAGAAGTAGTAAGTGTGCAGAGCTACTGACATGGCACTGTCCCCGAGCAGAAACATACTCTGCCTGTTTGATGTGGACGGCACGCTGACCCTCCCGAGAGAGGTGAGTGACGTGAGGTCTGCTGTTGACATAATGGGGATAACGTAAGAGACGCGCTCCAGTATTTACACCATGCACACAGGACATACTGTATTATCCTCTTGCAGCCTCTCCTCGAACTCAGCCCTAGATTCTTACATTTCAGTCTCATTTGGTCTATTACGCATGCTATTTGCACACACAGCATTTCAGATATTGTGAAATGTTTCATAACCACAGTAAAGAAACGTGCAAGAAAAACAAAGTGTTGCCAAATGTGAATATTGTTATCTATTACGTAATGCAGTGCCATGCTTGATGAACTGTCACAGCAACCAGTAACTCTGGTCTAACTGAGTTACTGGTTGGCAGCCCCTTTCAAGTAGCACAGAATTAAGCACATGAGTCTGCACATATCTATTATAAGTATGAATATAAGGTCACACAGTATTATAGTATATTTGACATGTGTTCTCCATGTTTTGTTGTATAAAAGTAGCACTCAGACGCTCCGAAAAGATAGGAGAACCCTGTGTTACAGTGTCTGGAGTGGGTTGATATGTGGCCATTTTTGAAGAGTGTGGAATGGGCTGTGTCATGTGTGTGTTTTGTCCTCTTTTTGTGCAGAAAATTGACCCACGGATGGATGAGTTCTTCCAGACCCTGCGGAGGAAAGTCAAAATAGGCATTGTGGGGGGTTCTGACTTACCCAAGATCGCAGAGCAGCTGGGGGACGGTGATGATGGTGAGCTGGAGACCCATGTTTCGGGTCAGCCCTGTGCTATTCAGGGTTTTTCTCAGAGCCCATGAGTCCTTCTTTAAAAATCTAGGCTGCTGTATGTGTGAGGTCTGTACATGTAATGAGGAGACTACATGGCTAGATGTCTGTTTGTGCTTTCAAATTGGAATTGTCAAATAGTCATCAGCAGTACGCAAATAATGTTGGTCAATTATGTGTGTACTCTTGATGCTCTTGTCCTCAATCCTTCATGGTGATGTCCAGAACTGGGCTGACCTTCAGTTCATTGATTAGTGCATTATTCTGCCAAAATGTACATTTTATTAATTATTATTATTATGATTACATAAAGGTAAAGGTAAAGGTGCACTTTATTGATCCCCATGGGGCAATTCATCCTCTACATTTGACCCATCCTGATGCCGCTAAGGCTTACGTCAGGAGCAGTGGTCGCCGTAGTAACAGCGCCCGGGAACCCATCTCCAGATGTTGATGCTCGGCTTGGTCAGGACTACTGCAGCTGGAGGATTTAACCTAGTGTTTGGAATATTGATTGAATTATTGGTAACATTTGTTTATAACGTATGTTCATAGCATTGACTTTACCATGAACTATGAAACAGATGTTTACAGTTTTTTCCTATTGCTTGAACACTTTAGACAGAACAAATACCAAAGTTACAGAACCTGAAGCTTTTATGCTAAACATAAAACTGTCTAACCATTCCCTAAACAAAAGCACTGCTTTGCTCTTTACTTTCATTTCTGCAACACACTTTCTCTTTCTGCAACACACTTTCTCTTTCTGCAACACACTTTCTCTTTCTGCAACTCACTTTCTCATGCTCACTACACACTGTGTGATACATAAGACTTTTTGTTCATAAATGCAATCCTGTGTTATCATTGGGACACATCTATTCAAAATACCAAACACGTGTGATTGAAAACACTGAGACACACACTTGAAAACACTGACTAACAAAACGTGACACACATCAGTCAGACATAAACAGGCCTCAGTTTAGCCATTTTCAGACCTTTGCCAGTCTGGAGGCAGGAAGAGCCCGAGAGAGGAAGACAAGGAGAGAGGAGGATGTAGTTTAAGAGGCCATGTACAAAACAATATTTCTGATGACATTAGAGTAACTTTCGTGGATCATGTGATCAATCATGGCCTCACGATGAGGGAAGCGGAGAGTTCAGCCACAGCTCCATCATCAGGAGCTTATGACTCTCTACTGCAGACTGTATCTACAGTATTTACAGTACTGTACTGTATCACATGTACTGTATGCGAGTTGGCTATTGCTCCAAAATTATTTGTTTTTAATTTTGGAGCAATAGCCAACTGCTTGAAAAATTGTAGCTTTGTGAAACATACAATACATTAAAGTATATTGTAATGTACCATTCGGATGTCACAGTACTGTGTACAGTATGCAGCACTGTAAAACAGAACTAAACCTATAGTAACAGTTTGTGGATGCATATTTATACAGAATGACTAGACCTTCTAGAGGTGGTCAACAACTGTTCACCCAACAGCAAAAACTTTGTGGAAATAGTCTGAGCAGGGACCATGATCCATAATCCCAACCCCACAATTTCCAAGTTTTACATTAGTGTTTGTGCTACTGCATTGGCTGTACTGTAAAGTATACTGTAGTACTGTGATTTACAGTATTGAGATTATATTATTTGTAACCTTTCAGTACTTTCATGGTTGTTGGTAAACCTTTGTTAAGAAAAAAACCAGTTCCATTGATGCTTCACGGAAAACTAACTGATAAACACAATAAAGCAGTGAACATGAAAGACTGCAGTGTTTTATGTAAATGAAAGTGTGTTCACTTGATTCAAGTTTGTATCTTTTTGTCCAGAGTCGCATTTTAACAAATGATTGTTAAGTTTTGAGAGCAGAGTTTGAGTTTTGATAAAGGAGTTTCATTTTGACACTGATGTGAATGATTTATGTCCCAGTGTGTCGGAATATATTGTGTGTAGAGTTTTAGGACAATGAGCCATATTTAGCAAAATGTGTTCAAGCAATTGGGGAAAAAATCTGTAACAATACACTGTATATTATTATTTTTCAGTGATCCATAAGTTTGACTATGTATTTGCTGAGAATGGGACAGTTCAGTACAAAGATGGAAAACTCCTCTCCAAACAGGTATTTACTCCGCAGTGCTTGTGTCCACACCCTTTTGTCATCCCTGTATTGACACAACACACCCTGGTACCGTTGATTTAGTGTTTTATTTTTCCCTCACAGGCCATTCAGAACCAGATTGGCGAGGAGCTGCTTCAAGACCTGATAAATTTTTGTCTCAGTTACATGGGACTAATCAAGCTGCCAAAGAAAAGGTGAGCTCCAGTCTAATCCTGTACACATGCATTAACTATTGCACTAAACTCTCTACAAAGTGGGTTTCTTGTTTGGTTTGGTCATTAACATGGTTAATTGTGTCTATCTTTTCAATCCAGGGGAACGTTTATTGAATTTAGGAATGGAATGCTGAACATTTCTCCCATTGGCCGCAGTTGTACACCTGAGGAGCGTCTGGAGTTCTCTGAAATTGACAAGGTTTTACTTATCTAAAACTCTTTAATTATGGCCAATACTGGCTTTTCATACCGTTTGACTCCATGTAAATAATAATACAGGTGAATATATTCATGAGTGTACATGTTGTCATTGTTTCTGTACAGAGGGAAAAGATCCGAGAGAAGTTTGTCTCTGCACTGAAGGAGGAGTTTGCTGGCAAAGGTCTGAGGTTCACCAGAGGTGAGATCTGTGCGTTTCACTGCAATTACAAGAGCATTCATTCACTTCATTCCACTGCTTCATTCTCCAACATTAATGAAGCTGTATTTAAAGATTTAATTTATGATATACTTCTCTATGAGAGGATAATGACAAAATCTCTTTTATAAGAAAACAGCGTGGTTCTTCAGCTTGTATTGATACATTTATAATGATAATATGTGTCTTTATTCTTAGGTGGTCTCATCAGCTTTGACATTTTCCCAGAGGGCTGGGACAAGAGGCTGTGTCTGGAGGTTCTGGAAAGGGAAGGCCTGGAGGCCATCTACTTCTTTGGCAACGAGACTTCAGATGTAAGATGTTCCTCCACCAGGAATACACAATCCCAGGCATGAGAGAGTGAACCATGGATAAGTTAAAGCCATACTGTGGAAACTTCCATCCATAGTTTAAGTAGATTCTGTCCTCCATCATAGTCTTCTTACCTGTGTGCTGTGGTCTGAACACATTATCTGTGATCAGCCACAAGGAGGTGCCGTAGCTCTGAGCATGTTCTTTGTTGCAGGGAGGGAATGACTACGAGATCTTTAATGACCCTCGCACTATTGGTTTCACCGTGTTCTCCCCGGAGCACACAGTCCGGCTTTGTCGACAACTGTTCTGTGACACTCCTGGTGAATCCTGATGCACTGAACTCTCTGCCCCTCAGTCCTCGCTGCTCTAAGCCCCAGACGCAGCTGGATTACAGAGAGTTTCTATGAGTGCCCTTGCACCTTACCTACTACGACCGCAGCCAAGACGCTCCACTGAGGGACCATTGAGATTGTAGAATATGATGTTTATGCAAATACTACTGTAATGCATTTTATTTACAAGCTGCTTTTAACCCAGACTTTGAGAGATTCTGTTTTTAAGTGTAAAAAAAGAACATTTTGCACATGGAATTATGTTTAAATCTAGTCACACATTGAATAGCTGTTGGGCATTAATGTCTGAAACGTATTGCATTCCAGGTTTTAACTTTATGAGATTGTCTTTTTACTGTGAATTGTTTTATCTATTGCAAATGAGAGGAATTGTCCATTTGCTGTTTTTTCATGACATAAATGTTATAGGATTGTTTTAATATCAACACTGGATTGAATGACGGCACCAGTGGATTAAGCTTCTGCTGGTTCGTCTTTATGCAATGTGGCATCAATGGTTCTTTACAGGAACTTTTGTGAATCATGTTTTTTTACTGTATTTGCCAAAACTACAGAAACTCAACTATTCTAATGAAACCTTGTGCAATAGACTCACACTCCAGATGATTACTTAAAATCTTTTATATTCTCTAACAGCAACGACATTGTAACTTGAATAAAGATAGTTACTGTAATGAACTTCTCTGTGCTCTTTTAAATCACTATAATCACCTTGTGGTAAGTCATCTGTGCCGTGGGCCTGTGAAAAACTTGAATATTTGTGTTTGATTCTAAACAAATGCAGAGTATAAAGCCTGAGGATGGGTTCATATTTGTGTTTGATGTATTGAAAAGCAGGAAGTAGGACACTGAGGTTGTTTAGAACAAGTTTCACTGCTTCCTACTGTTTGGATTACCATTAATGTCTCAACAGTTTTAGGACTCTTACATTTTTTGTCTTGTTTTGTTTTTGAAAATGACATTAACAAAACAAATGTTTAAAAAAAAATGATTACAACTATCCCTGATCATAAAACAATAATATAATACATCCATAAAACATACAAATATATCTGCGTTCTGTTTATTTTGAGTCAATTCTGAGTCTCTGGGAAGAGGAGGGACAGTTTTTTACCCCTAAAATTGTAGTAGAGTGTATGCAGGTGAAACTCGAAAGATTAGAATATTATTCAAAAGTGAATTTACTTCAGGATAATTCAATGTATAATGTAAAACTAATATGGTATACTTTTTAGAGACGCACAGATAAATTATGCCTTCATTTAGTCATAATATTGATAATTGTCTCACAACTGTAAAAAACTCTTTTAATCCAGAAAATTTGAATATTTTGAAAATGGACTATAAGACATAATCATCTACGTTATAACAAAGGCATGTGTCATTCTGCAGGTAATGATTCTATAGAACCCATTCAGTCAGGTTTTAAAATCTTTTGAAATATGTGTTTGCAGTGAAAGAGAAATCGTCCAAACTCAACAGTTAAGAGACACTTCTACAGACAACCCCTTCATACGACAGACCTCTTTTATAATAATAATGATAATAATGCAATCAGTTTTATAAAACCCTTTTCAGTACACACGCTTCACATGTCATTAGTCATTCACTCCATACAAAATAAATTACTACTGTAGCCACAGCTGCCCAGGGACACACTGACAGAAACTAGGTAACCAGTATGGGCCTCCAACCACCACCAACCAGTCACACACACACCAGACTCATTCTAGGCGATGTGGGTGAAGTGTCATGCCTAAGGACAGAATAGTTTGGAACTTCACAGCTGCAATCGCCCCACTGTGGCACCTGTGTTCCCAGAGGTCTCCCATCACAGTAAGTAAGTAAGTAAGTAAGTAAGTTTTTATTTATATACCGCCTTTTCACTGCAGATCTGAGTCTCAAAGCGGTTTACAATTGTTAATTTTGGGCACTTGTCTCTCACTCCACACAGAGATGGAAGCGGGGCCAGTACAGGAGGCACATGCCAGAACTATTGGACATATTTTTAGTGGTAGGGGAAACCGGAGTACCCGGAGGAAACCTACGCAGACACGGGGAGAACATGCAAACTCCACTCAGAAAGGCCCTGGTCCGACCGGGATTTGAACCCAGGACCTTCTTGCTGAGAGGCGAGAGTGCTATCCACTCAGCCACAGTACTGACCAGGCCCTGCCCTGCACAGCTTCAGAGGTCTGACGGGACCCTGCTTTCACATGTAAGTAAGGCTTTCAGGTGAACTGTTCATTGTTACCATCAGTAATCACAGTGTATGAGTCAAAGGCCAAAACTACAGGCCCTGCACTGCACTGAGAGGCCTTAAACCTGTTTAGTGCAAAAGGTTCAGACACCGATGCGACGATCACTCATGAAGGGTCTCGAAATATTCACTTGCATCTAAAATAATTGTGTTTATTCATACTTTTATAGGTACAGCTGCAAGTTTAAACATGAAGTGACAAAAATATGTAATTTTTTGCATATTTAATAGAGATTTGGTAAAATGTATTTAGGCATGTTCTTGAAGTACTGAGGTTTTTGTCATAATGTGTAGTCCACAAACACAGAGACTCGTGCAGTAAAATAAAAGACATACAAGAACAGCAATGACCAAATGTAGATTGGTAAAACAAAACAATATTATTTGTTATCCACATTGCAAATAAATAAGTAAATTAGCCATTGGATTCAAGACAGAAATGTTGACATAGTAATAGTTTTGTCACTCAATTCATTGGGAAATTCACCATTATTACCTCAAAATAAATAAACATTGAAACAAGAGACAAATACAAATGTCTTCCACTGTCCGTATGTTTCAGTACATTACCAGTGCTCCTCCAGGACATACTGTACATGTGCACCTCTTTAATAAAACAGCAGTTCTCAATCTCCACAACACATTTCCATGTCATTCATTTCAATAACTGGCCTGTCACTTGCTGATCTCACCCAGTGAAACCTCTTCACATAACTTCATGGTACTACATGCTGAGAAAACTCATCAGCTGACCCCTGACACGTGCTTTTGGAAGAATACTCTTTTTCAGAAGCAGAAATGAAACTCAACTGGGACCGTTGTTGAGCGTCATTGGACAAAAGGTAAACATAGAGCCAGAGGGCGGCGTACGAAGCATCATGGGCAAAAATGAATTCCTTATATTAAGTTAAAGGTCTGGATGAGCTCTATCAAGTGAGCTCTATCTAGACTCATCAAACATCCACCTGTAAGTAACAAAACAACCAAGTCCTAACAAAAGTTTGAGCATTGGCTGGAGCCAGAGGGGAGAACACTCACGCTCCTCATGTGTACAGTATAGGATGTTGGCCGATAGAAAGGACTTTTACACATTAGAATAAAAATACCAAATCCCGCCTTTTATTGACTATATTCACCTTTCGGGATTTCTCCTGATTGGATGGAACTAAAATTGGACAGAAAATAGTACAGACTCGTTTGCCTGATGGACCAATTACTACTACTGTGTTCTGGGTTCAAGGTTTATATTAGATTAAATGATGTAGTTGTTTTCTAGATATAAACGACCTTTAATTATGTATATCATGCCATTTAGACCCTTTTCACGTTTTGAAAATCATCTGAAGTACCTTCTGTAATATCCTTGTGTCCAAATCATTTGAAAATATTTCTTTAACCATTACTTTCGGCATTGATCAGCCGTTACGCCCTTTTTCTATTTTGAAGCACTGCAAACATTTGGTGTCAATAAGTCATACTTGATGCTAAGTCACATTATTTTTAAGATTTTACAAGGTTTTGGACAAGGTTAAATATGCCATAATATTTAACTTAAGTACTAACTATAAATGATTAAAATTGTATCAAATGCCACTTAAGCTCCTCTGGTTCCAAGCCCTCGATACAGACATTTTAAATATCAACTCAAACTGAACCATGATACGTGGCTTAATGTGTCCAGGAATCCATACTGAAAGTGGGAAGTCCTTCATCCTTAGTCCGTTCTATGAAGTGATGATCTGTCCGGACCAGGTCTCGTGTTTGCTTCCTGGGTTCAGATGTGTGATTTTGACCTCCACCGCCTGCACCTTCAGGTTTTTGGGTGGGACTCGGCACACTTTATATGTGACCTCATCTCCTTCCACAGGGACATACTCTCCCTCCACGCTGAAACGGAAAATAAAAGAAAACGGTAGGAATGGCAGTAGGAACAGGGAGCACACAAAACAAGATATTGTAATTACCTGACAATGAGCATGTTTATTGTCAAACTGTAAATGTAATGGTGTCCCAGCATTGAAGCTAACAGTTAATATTTGCCTCCTCAGAGTTCATTGTGTTATTTCTCAAAAGACTTTGTCCGTAACAAGTCAAAAGTGTGTTCAAAAATCTCATCTTCAAATCATGCGGTAACCAGTATAAACAGTCGTCTATCAGCTTTGTTTTTCTCTATCAGAGGCTTATATTCAAGTGCGGCCTATTTGTGGACAACATTAACCCTATATAAAAATGTAGCGGTTTATATACAAGTACAGTAATAAATATACAGGTGCACCATATAGTCCAGACTGTACCAGACTATGAGCTGCTTCTTTTTTCAATCTACTTTAACATTGCTGCACAGTACAGCGCCTAGGGATTTATCTCCAGTTGTTGATGCCCGGCTTGGTCAGGACTACCGGAGCTGGAGGATTTACCAATTGTTTATGTTTTTAGTGGTGACTTATGTGACCTGTCCCTGAGATACATTTGCAGAAATAAAAATTCAATAACATGGCAGCATTTCACACTGCCATGCTAAGAGAAATCTAAAATACAAGATTCAAGAATATTTTAATGGTACACAAGAGTCAAATACTTTACTTAGTTACTCTCTACTTTCCTGAGATAACATTTTAAACAGTATGATCACACTATTATGTGTCTTGTGTGCTGTTCCATAGCAATTTCCTAGTCTGTGACCTCCTGTTACTTACGTGGCAATAAAAATGATTCTGATTCTGATTCTGATATTTTGTTACCTTGCAGTTCATACTTATATACTGCTTGCATTTTTAAAAAAAGAATTTGACCTGGACACAGCAGTATTTTTGCCTAATTGCAGATTTTCCAATGTCATGAGAGATTAAAACTAGTCCCACTTCAGACCCACAGTAAATGTAAAGGATAAAAAGCAGATAAAGGCTTTCTGTGTATGTGTGTATGGTGCACTCACTCAGAGATGTGAACAAAGATGTCTTCTCCACCGTGTGAGGGCTGGATGAAGCCGTGACCCTGACATCTGGAGAAGTTTTTACAAACCCCTTTGAACACGGCACCTGAGTGAGCGCGGACCGTCCTGTGCAGACAGAAACACACGTCATTTTATTTAAAAAATATTACAATGCAGAGAGAGAGAGAGAAAGAGAGAAAGAGAGAGAGAGAGAGAGAGAGAGAGAGAGTCCATCTTTTCACATTGACCTTTAATATCAGATGCTTTTCTCCATGGACAGATAATAATACGCTCATGAAGGTTATATGCACGATCTAATATCACCCCATAAAAAATAGTCCAGGAGTTGTGTGCTCAGTATCGATGTCATAGTCAGCCAATCAGGGGTCATTGGATTAGAGTGAGGATCATTGATCGTCGATCCTGGGCTCCTAGTTAAGGTAATATCAGATCAACTGAGATTATTTAGTGCAAGAAACAGAAATAAGATACAACAGAAATGAGATAAGTCGGCTGCATACAATCTTGAACTTTGATAAACGTCCACATTTGTTTTGTTTCATTTTTCTGTAGAAAGATCTAACTAAAGCCATCACTCATAATTAACTGATGACTTCTCACGCCTCAGGCAGAATATAACTCACGCAGAGTATGTGCGGGTTCGCTTAGTTGGCAGTGGGCTTGGCAGATTCCTGGGCAGTGGTTCCTCTGTACCGTCCTTCCACACTCGGCTCCTCTCTCTCAAGAAGGGAAAGGACAGAGTCAGAGAGGCACTGGGGGAGCGGAGGGGGCTCTCAGAAGGGGAAGTGGAGCCTGCCATGTCAAGTGTGGTCCTGGCCTGCAGCCTGCTGCTTTGTCTGCCCCAGAGCAGGACTCCAAAAACCAGGTCAGGGCTGTTGCCTTGAGGCGTCAAGAGCTCACTTTGGAAGAAGGAGCCGCAGGCAGAGGATGGAAGGAGGACAATCAGCGGGTTGTCATATGGCCTGGAAACTGTACAAGAAAAGAGAAGCACATAAACCATACACTATGATCTGTGTATGAATGCACCATGGTCTATAGAACACAAAATGCACAGCTAAAATTGGTGCACATCAATTTACTTAATATCTGTTGGGACATGTGGTGGTATCATAAGACTTCTTTATTCACCCTACAGAGGGGACATTTCAGTCTCCTCCTTGTATGAATGAAATAAGCACTAAAGCAAGATAAGATAATCAAGATAAACGCTGCATGAAAAGGTCAAATCTTTGGGCTTAATCAAACTCTTTATATTTTATTTGTTGTTTTGAGGTAAATATTTGTGTTTGAATATTTTTTTCCTGAAATAACCCCAACTCAATGAAATATCTCAAGGGCGTGTAACTTCACAAGATAACGTCTCCAATGCATTATGATATCGATGAACTCGTATTAGAGCAGCATCCAAGTTCATGGAGTGTTACTAATTGTCACATTTGACTATATCTGCTGTGTAACGAGGCTGAGTATGTCCTGTTCCCTGCGTGAACCCGAAGCCCCTCCAAACGTGCCAACAAAGGCACGACCGGAGCCCCGTGACGTCACAACAGCTGCAAAGAACCACCATTACGCTCGTGACGTAGGTGTACGCTCCCATCAGAACACAGACAAATACATATAAGGAAAATACAGAAAATACTGCTTCCCTAACACTTCACTGTTTGAACCCTAGGGCATCACAGGGGCCAGGTCAGATAAAACAGTACAGTGCAAGCATTGTGTGAATGAGTTCAATGTTTCGTGAAGTTATTGAGAATTTTTGATACTGATCTCTTTATATCTTGACGAATGAATTATCAGCGAACTCTCAATTAAACTCAAAAAGAGCAGCATAACTTGTGTCCCAACTATAACCTGAAGCAGCGTGTCAGTTTGTATACCGAGGATACTTTTCAATACTACCACTACAAAAACCTCCCAAAAACGCTTTTTCTTTGCACCTGAAACCTTGAACCAATAAACCAGCCACATGTCTAGAAACAAACCCCAAAACAAAGCCACAGAGGCTGTCCAATGATCAGAAAGACTTACCGCATTGGCCGGGACAGGAGGAAGGGGGCGATCGGTGAATGCGATAGCCTGTTTTTAAGTCGCTGTGAATTATATAACCACTATTTAAATAAATAAGTCTCGTAAATCCGCAGAGCGCACCGGAAAAGCCTGATGTGCAGCTGGAGATTCCGATGGCGTGATGCTGATGCTGGGCTCTCCGTGTGCATCTGAGGAGCGTCCTTCTCTCCCACCACACAGTACCACACAACACCACACAACCTCACACAGTCTCACAATCTGCTATACTGCTGCCACTGAAGGGTACTGATGCGTGGACAACAAGGCCATCCTAGAACGTAATGCTTTCAAATGGCATTTAAATGAAATCTATTGTCAATGGTTCGCCACGCGCTCTATAGTCATGTGGTTATGATTGGAGGGGACGTGTTTCGTGTTTTATTTGTTCTGCTGAAAACAATTGCAGAAATCCATGAAGCAATTAGATCATATTGACATTTTTACAGCAGAATGAATAATTGCATAGACTTAAATGTCAAATTTCTATGCAAATTTCAAACTTAAACTTAACAATCCAGTCACAGGGAAGTTATTCATGATTTTATAATTGACTTTTCCGATTGGAATGAGAATTAAATATTAAACAGTTCCACACTGATTGATCCAAGTCCTGTATTTATCAAAATATTTTGTACTACTTTTGGTCTCGTTTATTTCAATATTAAAAAAAAAAGAGCAGTTTGGATGCTGCGGTACTTGAAAATTACCGTCCCATCTCAAATCTGCCTTTCATGGGAAAACATCTTGAAAAAGTTGCCTACCAACAACTTACTGAATTTTTAATATCTAATGACTCATTTGACATGTTCCAGTCTGGCTTTAGACCACACCACAGTACTGAGACCGCTCTAGTCAAGGTAACAAATGATATTCGGCTTAACACTGATGCAGGAAAAGTCTCTGTTTTAGTCATGTTAGATCTGAGTGCCGCTTTCGACACCGTTGACCATGAGATTCTCATGCAGAGACTGGAGGACTGGGTTGGTGTTGCTGGTACCGCCCTAAGCTGGTTTAGGTCCTATCTAGAAGAAAGGAAGTATTGTGTGGAGATTGGAGACTATGTCTCAGATAATATGGCCCTGACCTGCGGAGTGCCACAGGGGTCGATTCTGGGACCTCTCCTGTTCAATATTTACATGCTGCCATTAGGTCAGTTAATTCAAAGTATGAAAGTGTCCTACCACAATTACGCTGATGACACTCAGATCTATGTCTCACTGACTGCAGGAGAGCATGGACCGGTGGACTCACTCCTTCGCTGTATCCAGCGGATCAGTGAGTGGATGCAATGCAATTTTCTCCAGCTAAATGCGGACAAAACCGAAATGATTGTCTTTGGTCCCGAGAAACAAAGAGAGACCGTCATTTGTCACCTTCAGTCTCTCTCCCTAAGGCCTTTAAATAAGGTCAGAAATCTGGGAGTAATAATGGACTCTGACTTAAACTTCAATAGCCACATTGGATCGGTAACATCAGCAGCTTTTTATCATCTGAAAAATATTGCCAAAATTAAAAATATTGTGTCCAAAGCAGACTTGGAGATTCTTATCCATTCTTTTGTTTCCAGTAGGCTGGATTACTGCAATGGCCTGCTCACAGGTATCTCCAAACATGCAGTAAAACAGCTGCAGTATATTCAAAATGCTGCAGCCCGAGTCCTGACTAGAACCAGGAAGTACGACCACATTAGTCCGGTCCTCAGGTCTCTGCACTGGCTTCCCGTGGCCCAGAGGATAGACTTTAAAGCAGCTCTCCTGGTGTACAAGTCTCTCCATGGCCTTGCACCAAAGTACATCCATGATATGCTAGTCCCATATGAACCAGCCCGGACTCTGAGGAGCGCAGGGACGGGACTCCTGTTAGTGCCCAGAGTCAGGACTAGACAGGGGGAGGCTGCTTTTCAGATTTATGCAGCTAAAGTCTGGAACAGTCTTCCTGAGGATGTGAGACTGGCTGCCTCTCTGTCAATGTTCAAATCCATGTTAAAGACTTTTCTTTTTTCCTGTGCATACAACTAAAGAATTTTATCTTTTTAACACACCTTGTTATTTATTGTTGTAACTTTTTGTGTTTTTAACTATTTTATTGTTTTTAATTACTTGTGTGATTCTTACGTTTTTAAATTACTTATGTGATTTTAATGCTTTTTAATTACATATGTGTTTTTAATTGTATTTTAATGGTGATTATTTGTGCATTGTGTGGTGTGGACTGTGAGGCGCTTTGTGTTGCCCTGTGCAGGAAAAGCGCCCTATAAATAAAGATTGATTGATTGATTGATTGATATTGCAACGAAATAGCCCTCCAGTGATAACACTGGGATAAAATCTGGAACATCTGAAACATAAAACTATTGGTTGTGTTTTGTGAGAAGTATAACATCAAACCCAAATCAAGCACTTTGTTCTTTTATATGGAAATCAAACTAGTTTGGGTATCAAAATAAAAATATCACATATTTATTGCTTATAACAAACTCATGTACAGTTATGGTCAGAAAACACAGCATACCAACTTAAAAAGATACAACACTCTGATCCATTTTCCATCATTAACTTATTTTTCTTATTTATATGGTTATGCATTAGTCATTTATAAACAAAACATTCCCATCTTCAATTGCTTGGTTAATTGTTCCACCAGGATAGTAACCCCAAGCCAGGTTCAGATATGGTCCCCTGTAAAAGATAAACCAATTATTCAATTAATCATAACAACAACAAAAATCTCTTGTTGCAAAAATGTCTCCTAATTATTACTGAATAAAGTCAATAACATAATAGCTTTGTTATAAATGGTGTGAAGTACAGAGGTGCAGCATGATCTTACAATAAGAGTATATGGCGCTTCCTTCTTCTCCACAGCGGCCTCTGGTGGTGGAGCGGTGGACTGTCCGGGTTGGGCAGCAGTGTCTTCAGTAGCAGTGGCTGGTCCTGTTGGAGACGTGTCTACAAAAACCTCATCCGTCACTCTGAA